CGCCAGGCGTTAAGGGCTGGAGCAGCTGTGGTTTTGTATGAACGAATGTTGAGCTGCTCCGCCGCCGACATATTCCGCAGGAGCACCCCGTACGCCATCAGCGACTCGTTGTAATACCGTGCCTTGGCGTCGTCGGTGTCCTCAGCAGGCTCCGCGTAGCTCCCGTCGAAATAGTGGAAGATCTGGGCGTTCTGAAGCAGGAGCTCCAGCTCGAAGCTCCAGGTGTAAAAGTCTCTGCCGTCAAAACAGGTACTTGTCTTTATTTTTGATATGCTGAGAAACCTTGATTGAGCGGAGAGAATTGCCTCTTCACTGGGACGGGGAGTCTTGGGGGTTGAGCCATTGGTGTCGAGGGAGAAAGTTTGCGGGGTGGCGTTCTGGCCAGTCGGGGCCGGTTGAGATGGTTGCGAGGATGTTCCCGCATCGCCATTCCGCAATGTTTGGAGCCCTTGCTCCAAGCTGGTGAGTCGCTGAAGAAGTTGTGCGAGAACTTCGGAGTTGATTGTCGTCGTGTTCTCGCTTGTCGCAGCCGGGTTGGGTTGCGCTTCAGCCGTCAGATTAGTTTGACCACCAGATCCTCCGGCCATCTTCACTCGTGAGCGTGTGCCGGACGCCACTTTCCGAATGTCGCAATTTTCGGGAGTGGCAGTGCGAAGGATTCCTGAGCCGCTCTCATACCATGCTGCGATCAGAAGTTGATCGTAGCCCGGGATCTACCCAGGAAGGTTCGCACGCAGTGAAATAGTTGGTGGGCCCTTGACCTCAATAGCAGAGTGAATGTAAATGCTTGAGATAATAAAAACATGCAAACAAAATGATATAAATAAGAGTACAAGGGAATACGAAACGACCTAACTAGCCATGTACTCTAAGGGGTACATTCCCTTATTCAAATACATTCCCAACCGTGCGGCGCGTACAGTTTCGTAACTGTTCCCGCCAAAACCACCTTGCCTGCAGCTGCCCGATGCCGTCTGCTTCCGACGGTCCAGATGCGTCCCAACTGTCCGACGCTTCGAGTCAATTCTAACCGTCTGACGCTTCGCGTTCATTCTCGTTACTGCGTGCTTCTCTTTGCTGCGGTGAGGAGTGCACAGTAATATCAAGTATTACTATTCGTAACACAATACAATGACGAGTCAATTTTCAATTCGTCAGCGACGTCAGCGCGTTTCACGCTGACCAATGGAAAATACAGTAACAATCGCACTAGGGCGATTCGCGTTTGAGACATTGTACGTTATATGTTGTTTTTACGTGTCACAAAGGCTTTGAGACACAAGTGTCCCCGAAGGAACGTTCCCTAAGAATATGTTTACATCCAATAAGAAAAATCTGTACAGTAATGTACACCTCAGCTTCCAGGCCGTGTCATGCTACCAAGCTTGTAGAGCCTCTTCGCAACCAACAATGAAATTTGTGCCCGCAATATCCTTAATTATCGGGAATGGTAGGGAGGATATGTATAGCAACATGCCGCTGCTACCAGGCCGTTTCATGCTATGCTACCAAGGCAGCAGAGCCCTCCTCACAACCCACGACCATCACCCTCGAGTTCGTCACATCATTAGCCGAAACAAGGGAGGAGACACCAGACGAACTAATGGGCACAGAAAAGAAACTCAAGCCGTCGTGAGCTCTATTTGATGAAGACTGTACACCACCATGCTGCTTCGCTGCTACACTCCCAGCAAGGCCGTTGAAACTTCTTGCACCCTGCCGCATGGCTACATTGGAATGAGAGGCAAGTTGCTCCAGCTCAGATGCCCACGCCCATGCAATGATGTCGCCTGAATCGCTGAAAAGGAGGAAGGCAGGGGGAAGAAGAAGGTGGGACATTGGGGGAGTGTTCAAAGGAGCATTGGATGGACCATGAGGCAAGAGGCCGAATGCCGGAGTGAGAAGGGAAGACGAGGCAAGAGGCCTAACATGTCAGATTATGTTAGTTGTCTAGCCTGCAGTGGGGTGCTCAATAGTGAGTACAACCCCTTAGGGTTTGCTATTTGTATCCTGCTGCTTGCTAGTTCAATCATCCATTCTCCATTCTCCCTTCTCCAATTCTCCTTCGCATACCCAAAACCCTAGTCCTAGGGCACATCCTACTACCTCTTAGTGTGGGCCTAGGCTACTAAGCCTAGGCCCCACTCCTAGTATTTCTAACATGGTATCTAGAGCGAGTACGTTCCTGCCGCTTACCTCTATGGGCCCACCACCTGCTTCCGCTGCCGTACTGTCCGCCGCGCGCCCCGTGGTGCGCGGCGGCGAAACCCTAATTTTTCATCCCGCCGCGCGCTCGGAGCGTGCGGCGGTTTTCTGCCCGCCGTGCGCCCCGAGGCGCGCGGCGGCTTTCTGCCCCGTCACTCCGCGAGTCGCCCCCGGGAGGAGCTGCGACGGGCGACGGGGACCCGCGCGTCGCCCCCCGTCGCCCGTCGTGGCCCGCGCGACCTCCGTAGGGCCCGCGCGCGGCCCGTACGGACTGCGCCAGGCCAGGGCGCGCCTCGAGCCGCCCGCCACTGCAGCAGCAGCCCCTGGAGCCGCCCGCCACTGCAGCAGCAGCCCCTGGAGCCGCCCGCAACTGCAGCAGCAGCCCCTGGAGCCGCCAGCAACTGCAGCAGCAGCCACTGAAGCCGCCAGCACCTGCAGCAGCAGCCCCTGGAGCCGCCCGCAACTGCTGCAGCAGCCCCTGGAGCCGCCAGCAACTGCAGCAGCCGCCCCTGGAGCAGCCGCCCCTGCAGCAGCCGCCCCTGGTGCAGCCGCCCCTGGTGCAGCCGCCCCTGGACCCGCGACGCCGCACCTGGTGCAGCCGCCCCTGCAGCAGCCGCCCTTGGCCCCTGGAGCAGCCGCCACTGCTGCAGCTGCCCCTGGACCCGAGCAGCCGCCCCTGCAGCAGCCGCCTCTGCAGCAGCCCACGGCGCCGACCCTGCAGCTGCATGCGACGCCGCTCCTGGTCCCGGTGCAGCCGCCTCCTTTTCCTGTCACCCGCAGTCTTGTTCCTCTCGTTCTGTATGTGTCTTTTCTTGCCCACTCCGTGTACGTTCGTCTTGTTCGTGTATTTGTTCGTTTTGCCTGTGTTCGTTTGTACTGCCTACCTGCGCTGCGCCTCTGCGCGCGCCCTGCCTACCTGCGCTGCGCCTCTGCGCGCGCCCTGCCTACCTGCGCTGCGCCTCTGCGCGCGCCCTGCCTACCTGCGCTGCGCCTCTGCGCGCGCCCTGCCTACCTGCGCTGCGCCTCTGCGCGCGCCCTGCCTACCTGCGCTGCGCCTCTGCGCGCGCCCTGCCTACCTGCGCTGCGCCTCTGCGCGCGCCCTGCCTACCTGCTGCAGCCCTCGCCCTCGTGCGCCCTGCTGCAGCCCGCGCCCTCGTGCGCTCTACTCTCTTGTGCCTCGTGCCTCGTGCCTTGTGCCTCGTGCCTTGTGCCTCGTGCCTTTTGCCTTGTGCCTTGTGCTTCGTGCGCTCTGCTCTGCTCGCGCCCTCGTGCGCTCTGTTCTGTTCTGCTGCCCCCCCCCCCCCCCCCCCCCCCCGTCCCCTGGACAGGAGTGTGGGGGTGACGGGTATGGGGGTGCTTCGTGTGCGTCGTCCCTTCCTCCTCCTTCGTCTCCCACTGCTGCAGCTGCCGCTGAGGGGGGTGGAGGTGTGGGAGCCGAGGGAGTGGCGCTAGGGGGGTGATGTGGGAGTGGAGCTAGAGGTGAAACTAGGGGTGTGTGTAGGGGGGTGTGGGACTGTTGTGGGGAGGTTGAGTGGAGGCTGCCGTCTTGTCGTCAGCAGCACCTGTAGTCCGGGGCGCTGTCCTGGTAGCCCAGTCGTAGCCAGCTGTGCCAGTCGCCCGTGGGTCCATTGCTCCTGCCGCTCGTCTTAGCCGCGGAGCCAGTTACTCCAGAAGTCCGTGCCGATGTTCCGGTAGCCGCTGTGCCAGTGTGACTCCTGTCGCCCGTGTGTCTGCAGCTTCAGCCGTCGCCTTTTATCTCCTCTCCTCTTACAGTCTCGCCTCCTCCTCCTCACTTGCCCTCTGTGACTGCCTCTAGCTTTGCTCATAAATTGTGAACTACTGCTATGACTGTTTGTTGTGCTGATTACACCCCACTTTGGCTATGGGGGTGTGTCAGATTATGTTAGTTGTCTAGCCTGCAGTGGGGTGCTCAATAGTGAGTACAACCCCTTAGGGTTTGCTATTTGTATCCTGCTGCTTGCTAGTTCAATCATCCATTCTCCATTCTCCCTTCTCCAATTCTCCTTCGCATACCCAAAACCCTAGTCCTAGGGCACATCCTACTACCTCTTAGTGTGGGCCTAGGCTACTAAGCCTAGGCCCCACTCCTAGTATTTCTAACATAACAGTGGTCCCAAGAACTGAGAGAGGGGAGAAGAAGATGTGGTGATGTCATTTGGAATCTGTGAGATAGGTTGGTGAGAGCTCCTGTAGACCGTGGAACTTATGACACGGTTCCAATATGCTTCTTAGTCCAACTTCCTCCTCTCCTCAGCTGCCACCCTCCTCTCCTCACCTGCCAGCGAGGATGGACTGGTCGCCGAGAGGCTGGCAACACGTGAGGCCGCCACGTGGACAGTGTTGAGACGCCAGCTCAGCACCGCCCATGCGCATCTGATGTTGAGAGCCAGGTGGCAGAGGAGGAGGGGGAAGGATAGGACGAGTAGAGGATAAGCTTACTGCGTTGTAAGCATGATGGGGTGGGTGGGGTGCAGCAGTGGCACAGTGCATTTTCCCTGTAAGAAACGACTGGCCCTTAAAGCCCTTCGAGCACTATGAGACTCTTTGTGGAGTCAACATCTATGAGGAGCTGCGCTATTATTTAAGAACAGTAGCCCTATCACTCTGAGGGGCTTTAAGAACATTAGACCTATCACTCTGAGCCTTAAAGCTCCTAAAGCCTCACCTCCATACGAGCCCCCCTGTGGAGTCGGCAGCAGTGACGTGCAGACCCCCATACGAGAACACCAGTCCTGTCATTGCTGTCACTGTGAGCCTTAAAGTCTCTCAAGCCGTTAAAGCCTCACCTCAAGCACTCTTAGCCCCCCTGTAGAGTCAGCAGCAGTGACATGCAGACCCCCGTACGAGAACACCAGCCCTGTCACTGCTAGTGGTGACGTGGGAGCAGTGGTGGTGGTGAGAGGGGAGAGGCGGCAGCTCCAGGGGACACAGGCAGAAGGGGGGGCACGCATGTCCCACAGCAGCACGGAACCTGGAGGAGGGGAGAGAGGCAGTGTGGGAGCAAAAGAGAGAGAGGGAACAATGACAGGAGTCATGGTGAGAGGGGAGAGGCGGCACCTCTCGGGGACAGAAGCAGAGGGGGGCGCTCGCATGTCCCACGGCAACACGGAGCCTGGAGGAGTAGAGGGGAGCAGTGCGGGAGCAAAAGGGAGAGAGAAAATGATGACAGAAGTCGTGGTGAGAGGAGAGAGGAGGCACCTGCACAGGGCAGAGGTAGAGGGGGGTGCACCCGTCATCATCATGTTCCATAGCAGCACGGAGCCTGGAGGGTGGAGACGGGTGTATGGGGGAGGAAGGTGGGCGATGGAAGAGACACAGGCCGAGGAGCGCGCACGCTGTCCTGTGTACCCTGGAGGGTCCAGGCCCCTGTGGGCTGTGATCTCACATCACAGTGAATCACAGAGCTTGGAGACAGAGCCTGAAGGGGGTAAGGGGAATCGTGCGAGAGGGACTGATGAGAGATCATAGGTCCAGGGAAGAGGGAGAGGGGAGGGGATGCCAGGGGTAAGAGAGAGAGGCACTGATGCGAGGGGAGGGGATGCCAGGGGTAAGAAGGTAAGTGAAATGGATGGAGGTACAGGAGTTAACGTAAGCACTTTCAGAAAGACTTGTAAGTCATTCTGAGTTGAGTTGGAAGAAATGGAGATAGAGGAGGGGATTTCCAAACTTGGTGTTGAATGGAAAAGAAGGTTTTAAAATCCCATCGAGTTGTATTAGACCAAGAGTTCTATTAAGTCAAATGGTCATGACACACAGAGGAGGACACACACACTGCAGAGGCAAGCGCGTCCGTCAGATAGAATCTGTCCTTTTGAGGCGTGTCATGAGCCAAGGGAGAGACATTGAGAGCACGGAGGCCAGATAACACTTGTCCCTGAGTGACTGAAAATTGGCGGCCCAAGTGTTCTGCATTTAGACGTACGCATCGACTTTTGAGTCAACTCAAAAGTCACCTCGGCCCAAGTGTTCTGCGTTTCAATGTACGCAGCCAGATGAGTTCACGCTCACCTTACCTTTGCTTCTGCACTGAGCTGTCAGTCTCTTACCATTGGTTGACCTCGATGCAGCAAGGGGCCATGCTGACGTGGCAGGGATGGCCACTTGGAGCGATGTGATTGGTGTGTCGTGCTGATTGAGTTCCGCAAGAGGAGGAGGGTGGACTGGTGGGGAGCAATGATGCGAGGGAGAACGGAGGGAGAGGGAAAGAAGGATGAATGGAAGAATGGACAAAACCATGGGGGTGCACTGAGGGAGAGTGGGGAGGGAGATGAGGCAAGTTTTAGGGGATACTCTTGCATATATTGCATAGCCACTAACCTGGTGTGTGAGGACTGACCTGCTGTGTGTGTACTGACCCGCTGTGTGTGGACTGACCTGCTGTGTGTGGACTGACCTGCTGTGTGTGGACTGACCTGCTGTGTGTGGACTGACCTGCTGTGTGTGGACTGACCTGCTGTGTGTGGACTGACCTGCTGTGTGTGTACTGACCCGCTGTGTGTGGACTGACCTACTGTGTGTGGACTGACCTGCTGTGTGTGGACTGACCTGCTGTGTGTGGACTGACCTGCTGTGTGTGGACTGACCTGCTATGTGTGGACTGACCTGGCCTCTAGGGGGATCAGTGCATGCAGATTCAATTAGCTTATGCATTTGTGTTTTGCCAATTCTTCTATTGGGACATTTGCAAGAACACTGCTGCATGCACTATTGGCCAAGAAAATCGCTCAAGAGATGCAGCAGCTATCCTCGCTTGTGCGATGAAAAGACAACCTCATCTGTACAGAATCTTCGTTCCTGCGCTCAACAACGCACTCTATATTCCGTCGCGCAGCCCACGCCTTCACCGCAGGCCTCACCCGGGGCATCCCGCCAGCGCGGTTTTCGCCTCCCGTTATAACCCAAAACTCCACTTCGTTCCTTGCCCTCGCTTGTTTGAGGCGATCCGCGACCCGTTCCAACGCTTCGTGGACGAGTAACCCGCGCATGTCTAATGTGGCAGACCGAAGGTGACTGCCGTCGTTGCGAGCAGCAAAAATCAGTTTGCTCGCCTCCCGATCACATCGTTCCGAGAGTTCCTTGTAATACTTCCTTTCGTCGAGCAGCTCCTTCGCAAGTGCGCGTTGCCCTCGCTCATAAGCGGCTCGCGAATCCTCAGCTAACTCTCGAGCGCGTTCTGCACTGGCCCTTGCTTCTTCCCGCAGGCGCTGGTAGGGCGGCGGTCTGGACGCTGCGTTCCCCATTCACGAGAAACTGCCCGCAACCTTGGTAGCTTGAGAGCTTACTTCTCGCTAATGAGACTCGCTATTTGTTGAGTAAGCTTTAACCGAATGGAAGGTATCGAAAGTCTCCTGCAAAGAATTCTCCGCGAGCACTGAACATCTCGCCAAATAGCAGGCATTATATAGCTACTATTATGTATTTGACGCCGCAAACGGGGGTTTGACCAAGGATGTGAGTGTGTATGTAAGAACGTATGGAATGTGATATGGTCCGGTACAGATAATTCAATGCTTTGGTCCGACATGCTGGTCCGACGGACCTATTTTGCTTCCCAGCAGTGAACCAGACATGGGTTGTTGTGCAAGATTATGTCGCGTTTCGGACAGAACTGACCTTGCCGACTCGTTGAAAACCGAGTTACCCTTTATTATTCACCTGGGCTCACTCACTATTCCATCGAATGCGAAATCACGAAAGATTGTCGCTAGCCATTACTGTTTACGGGCCACTCGCGGACTGGCCCGCTGACCACTCGCGGACTGGCCTGCTGACCATGTTTGTAACCATGATACTGGTCCCTTCCGCCGCTGGTTCACGCAATAGTTTAGTAGCTGGTCCGTCGGGTCCGTTTCGGACACGAGACTTGCGCATTTGAGACACGTCCGTGAGGGTCCGACACAGGCCTGGCGGACCAGCCCCAAAACCATCGAGGAACCAGCGGGAGATGGAGCAAGATGCGGGACTTGTATATCCGTTATAACACTACAACGTTGCCAGTGTGTGTTTTTTGCTAAGTTATTCTTATATTGAGATTTTGTAAGAACACTGCTTCATTCACTATTGGCCAAGGAAAAACTCAAAGCAAAATGCATTCCTCATGCGTACGACGAACAGGCAACTTGATTTTTACACAACCTTCATTCCTCCAGTCAACAACGCACTCCAGATTTTGTCGCACAGCCCAAGCCGTCACCGCAGACCTCAACCTAGCCATTCCGCCAGCGTGTTTCCCACTTCCCGTTATAACCCAAAACTGCACTTCATTCCTCGCTCTCGCTTCGTCGACGCGATTCGAGACCCGCTCCAATGCTTCATGGACGAGTAACCCGCGCACGTCTATGATGTCACGGTCTCTGCCGTCGTTGCGAGCAGCAAAAATCAGCCTGCTCGCCTCCCGATGACATCGTTCCGAGAGTTCTCTGTAACACTTCTTCTCGTCACTCAGTTGCTTCGCAAGTGCGCCTTGCCCTTGCTCATACGCGGTTCGCGATTCCTGTGCTAACTCTCGAGCGCGTTCAGCATGAGCCCATGCTTCTTCCCTCAGGCGGTACGGCAATGGCGGATTTTCGAAAACGTAACGAGGTTCTGTGGACGATAGGTTCCCCATCTGCACGACGATAGAGAATGACACAACATTGGTCGTTGAGAGCCTTATTGGCCATTGAGTTTCCCTATGAACGGTATCAGGTGGTCATATTGACTGGAAAAGGATCGCTACCCATCTGCTGAGAATTCTCTGCAGGCACTGAATATTCCTGGCCAACAGGAAGGCATTTCATGGCTACTATCTGGTACCACAAAAGGGAATCGAGCGTGCATATTACCTCGGACAAACGAAACGCCACGTGCTTGACTAAGATCGTTTCCTGCCAGAAAGGAAAAACACATGCAAGGAGGAAAGCTTGGCCTCTCGGATGTGATTGATGTCACCCTTCGCAATGCTATAGGGAGGACGTGAATTTCTAATTTGTAGGAGAATAATATGACGCTATCTTGAGCGCTCTTGTGTTCGAGGCCTCTGGAAGAAAAAGCTCATAACTGCAGCATACGGTAATATAGGGTATTTTCACCACCCTCGCCAGAAAGCTCTCCACAGAATGCTTTCTCAAGGTTCTCTTGAACTGCACTAACTAATGCCTAAACAACCAATTAATAGCAAGGGATTGTACTCACTATATCTGAAATGGTCGGGAAGTATATGTACAGCAAGATGCCTCTGTTTTCCTGGCCAAATTATACTACCAAGGTTGCAGAGCCCTCCTCACAACCCACAACCATCACCCTGGAGTTCTTCACACCACTAGACGAAACAAGAGAGGACACACCAGACGAACTAATGGGCACAGAAAAGAAACTCAAGCCTTGAGCTCTCTTTGATGAAGACTGTACACCGTGCTGCTTTGCTGCTACACTCCCAGAAAGGCCGTTAAAACCTCTTGCACCCTGCCGCATGGCTCCACTGCAATGAGGGCCAAATTGCTCCAGCTCAGATGCCCATGCCCATGCAATGATATCACCCGAATCGCTGAAGGGAGGAAAAGGGGAAGGGAAGGTGGGAAGACAGAGGAAAGCCCAAAGAAGTGTTGGAGTGAGGGTCAAGAGACTCGAGCTCAGATGCCCACGCCCATGCAATGATGTCGCCCGAATCGCTGAAGAGAGGAAAGCAGGGGAAGGGAAGGTGGGAAAACAGAGGAACACTCAAAGGAGTGTTGTCGGGGCAACGATGCAAGTGGGCCTTTCTGGTACGCCTTGAAAACAGGGAGCCTCAGAGGAGCGTTGGTTGGAGGGACAATGAGGCAAGCGGGCCGGACGTCTTCGTGATGTGAGGTAAGAGGTCTAAGAATGGCCCCATTCACTGTAAGGAGGAGAGAGGAGGACGATTTGATTTCCCGCAAAATCTGTGCATGGTAAACTGGATGACGATTGTCACCGTGAGGTTGTTGATAACTCCATAATACTGTGAAAACTATGACAAGACAACGAAACCTTTTAGTTCTACAAGGGTGCAGCTTAGTCCTACTCCCTCCTCCCCTCACCTGCCAGCGAGGACAGACTGATCGCCGAGAGGCTTGCAGCACGTGAGCCCGCCACCTGGACAGTGCTGAGACGCCAGCTCAGCACCGCCCATGCGCATCTGAGGGGAGTCACGAAAAGGAGGAGGGGCGAAGAGGCAGTGCATTGCGATGAGTGGTGTGGTGTGGCAAGGAGCTGAGGGTGAAGTGGCTTATCGTGCAATATGCATGGGGAGGTGCAGCAATGGGGAGATGCGGCAACAGGAAGGTTCAACCCCTTGTGAGAAAACACGCAGCCTTAACCGCGCTGAGCACCAGAGTGAAATCAGGAGCAGTTGGGTCCAGTCAGCCCCCTAACAGAAGAGCACAAGGCCTGTCACTGTGAGTCTTACAGCCTCACTTCCAACACTCTCCACCCCCTGTGGAGTCAGCAGCAGTGACACGCAATGCAGCCGTTCGTACGAGAACACAAGCGAGGCTCACTCGTCGTACAGGGCACGTCATTTCACTGCTGTCACTGTGAGCATTAGAGCTCCTCAAGCCCTTAAAGCCTCACCTCGATCACTCTGAGCCCGCCTGAGGAGTCAGCAGCAGTGAGGTGCTGCCCCCCGAATGAGAACACCAGCCCTGTCACTGCGGTCACCATGAGCCTTAAAGCCACTCAAGCCCTTAAAGCCTCACCTCAAGCACTCTTAGCCCGCCTGAGGAGTCGGCAGCAGTGAGGTGCAGCCCCCCATACGAGAACACCAGCCCCGTCACTGCTAGTGGCGACGTGGGAGCAGTGGTGGTGGTGAGAGGGGAGAGGCGGCAGCTCCAGGGGACACAGGCAGAAGGAGGGGCACGCATGTCCCACAGCAGTACAGAGCCTGGAGGAGGGGAGAGAGGCAGTGTGGGAGCAAAAGGGAGAGAGGGAACAATGACAGGAGTCATGGTGAGGGGTGAGAGGCGGCAACTCCAGGGGACAGGGGCAGAAGGGGGCGCTCCCATATCCCACAGCAGCACGGAGCCTGGAGGGGAGAGGGGGAGAGGGTGGGGGGAAAGATTGTATAGGTTCAGGGAACAAGGAGACGTGACGGGGGTGCCAGGGGTTACGAAGGAAAGCGAGTGGATGGAGTTGAGATACTGGAGCTAACTTGTCAGCTATTTCAAATCGGCTCATTAAGTCATTTTGAGTTGATTCAGAGAAAATGGAAATGAAGGGTTGTTGGACAGAGTGAGTGGATGGATGGAGATAGAGGGGGCATTCCTCAGGAGGGAATGCGTGGTGGTGAAGAAGAAAGCAGCTTTTGAATCACACAAAATGAAAAGCTTTTAAAAGGCCATGAAACACAGATGAGGACACGCACACAGATGAGGACAAGAACACAGATGAGGACAAGCACACAGATGAGGACAAGCACACAGATGAGGACAAGCACACAGATGAGGACAAGCACACAGATGAGGACAAGCACACAGATGAGGACAAGCACACAGATGAGGACAAGCACACAGATGAGGACAAGCACACAGATGAGGACAAGCACACAGATGAGGACAAGCACACAGATGAGGACAAGCACACAGATGAGGACAAGCACACAGATGAGGACAAGCACACAGACGAGGCAGTCCATGTTAAAACGCACGCGCTTACAACCAAGAATGTGTTCGCCATCAGTTAAAATTGTGTTGTCACTGAGCTGTCAGTCTCTCACCATTGGCTGACCCTGAGGCAGCAAGGGGCCATGCTGACGTGGCAGGGATGGCCACTTGGAGCGATGTGATTGGTGCGTCGTGTTGATTGAGCTCCGCTAGAGGAGGGGGGTGGACTGGTGAGGAGCGATGATGGGAAGGAGGACAGGAGGAGGGTGTAAGAAGGAAGGGGGAAGGAAATGGAGGTGAAATGAGGGGGACAGAGACACAAAGGGATGGGCAGCCAGTTCAGGCGTGAATTGGTCATACGATGGAGCTAAATCATAGAAAGGTGGAATCGTGGGGAGGCGCAGTGACTTTTGAGTCGACTGAAAAGTCAAGTCGACTGAAGAGTCAAGTCAACTCAAAAGTCACCTCATCTGATGGAGCTCCATCACAGAAAGGTGGACTGACCTGAAGGTGGAGACGTGGGAAGACGTAGCGATATGGACTGACCTGAAGTGTCAGAGTCAGCATAGGAGTGGGGGGAGGAGGAGGAGGAGGAGGAGGAGGAGGAGGAGGAGGAGGAGGAGGAGGAGGAGGAGGAGGAGGAGGAGGAGGAGGAGGAGGAGGAGGAGGAGGAGGAGGAGGAGGAGGAGGAGGAGGAGGAGGAGGAGGAGGAGGAGGCGAAGGGGATTAGGCGTGCTAATCGGCATGACTGTGGCTGGACTGACCTGAAGTGTCGGAACCAGCATAGGAGTGGGGCGAGGAGGAGGAGAAGGAGGAGAACCGTGCAAGGAGGATGATGCAAGGTGTAGGGGATAACCGTGCATGCTCTCACCTGTTGTTTGCGAGCCGCTATGGGAGTGGGGCGAGGAGGAGGAGAAGGAGGAGAAGGGCGAGGCGGAGAGGAAGGGCGAGTGGGCCATGCTCCACTGCTTCACACTGCCGTCCCATGATGCTGTCAACAGACACGTGTCAGCGCCCCATTGGCTGACCTGCATGCATGACACTGTGTCATCGTGTGCATGCATCTGGTGGCGGCACACAGGTAGAGGCAGGGGGGTGGGGGCGGGGGGTGGGGAGAAAGATGAGGAGGGGTTTCCATTGGCTGACCTGAATGCACGACACTGTGTCATCGTGTGCATGCATCTGATGTGGCATATAGGCGGGCATGAGGAGGAGCGGTGGGGGCGGCAAAGGGACAAGGGGGGAACGGAGGAGGGGAAAGAAGCAGGGGGGATTAAAGAATGGGAGGAGAGAGACGGCAAGCATCGTTCTTAGGGTTACTTGCACACATGACACCAGGCCATCGTGTGTGTGTGTGTGTGTGATTGGGTGCAAGTGTGTGCAGATGGGTAGCTAGCGTAGCATGCAGGGAGGAGTACCTTGGAGAGGCATCGGCCAAAGTCAGGCGAGTAGAGCCACACGTGATCGTCTGATGAGCCTAGCAGCACTGACTGGTGGTGGGTGGGGCATGCAGAGGTGGGAGCAGTGGTGCAACGAGGAGTGCATGAGGGCATGGAAGAGAGGATGAGATCAGCGAGTAGAGCCACACGTGGTCGTCTAATGAGCCCAGCAGCACTGACTGGTGTGTGGGGTGGGCACAGCAGAGAATATATTTAATCGTCAGAAATAATAATATTTTCAATTTCATTATTATCATTACTATTAATATGGTATTATTTAGGAAAAGAACGCACAGTAAGGGATCTGCAAGTAAGGACATATTGCGATGCAAAGGTGCAGCGGCACTATCTTCTCACTTGGAGAAATCAGACAGAATTGCAGCTGGATAGCAGGGGGGGCGAGGAGATAAAATCTCAACTGGATAGCAGTGGGAGGGAAGGGGCGGCAGCAACGCCATGCTGGCCAATGGGAGGCTGCCAACTCGCGCTGACCTCAGCTGCTGCTGCGACTCCACTGAGAAGACCTGATTGGTGGAGGCGGATTGCAGGGAAGGAGGATCAACGGATCGGAGAGAAGTTGGGAAGGGAGGCTCATGCAATGAACTTGGCGAGAGAGAGAAATGAACCCGAGGGTGAGCAATGAGAGTTCATTGCATCGGTGCCATGGCATGGCATCAGCAGCGCCCTGCAGTGGTGAGCAGCAGGTCGCCTGAATGACTCTGCATGTTCTGCCGTATTGAAGCTGCTTTTGAGTGTTACCGACAGCAACCACAGGCCGCGAGTCCCTCTCACCTTCACCATGCCATCAGCCCCTACCACCAGCCCTCCCCACACCAACTACGCGACACGCCAAGAGCCCCCCTCACTGTATGCCATGAGTGCGCCCCCTCACCTTCACCGTGCCATCAGCGCCTGCAGTGGTGAGAAGCAGGATGCGTGACTCTGCATGCTCTCTGGTATTGGATTTGCTCTTCTAAGAATCACCCACAACCAACGACAGGCCTATCACCTCCCCCTCACCTTCACCATGCCATCAGCGCCTGCAGTGGTGAGCAGCAAGTCGTGTGACTCTGCATGCTCTGCCAGCGCCACTGCCACCACCGGCCCCACCGCCCCCCACTGTGCCTTCACACTCCTTACACGCGCCCCTCACCTTCACCATGCCATCAGCCCCCGCAGTGGTGAGAAGCAAGTCGTGCGACTCTGCATGCTCTGCCAGCGCCACTGCCACCACCGGGCCCCGATGCGCCTTCACTCGCCGCACTCTCGCCTTCCTCCTCCCGCTGCCACTGCCGCTGTTACTGCTGCTCGTCTCACTGCTGCTGGTCGTCTCACTGCTGCTGCTCGCCCCGCTGCTGCCTATACCACCGTCTGTTCCGCTCGCCTTGCCATTCACTCTGCTGCTTCCCGTGCTGCCCCCGTAGCTGCTCCCCTTGCCGCTCCCTTTGCTCTTCCCCGTGCTACTACCAAAAAAAAAAGAATCCACAGCAGGGGACGGCTGAAAGGAAGGGAAGGGCGCAGTGGGGGAGAAGGGGGGCGAGCAGGCAGGCGGCTCTTCCCCCCCTGCTCGCCCCACACCAGCCTCATCTAGCCATTCCCTCAGCGCCGCCATCTCCTCTCCCTCCCTCACCGCTGCTGCTCTTGCCACCCCCGGTGTGGACCTCACCCCTCCGATGACACCACCTGCCGCATTACCTGCATCGCCCACAGCACCCACAGCACTATCTGCACTCACAGCATTAACAGCACTAACAACACTCACTGCACTGAGTGTGGAGCGTGTGGCACCAATAGCACCCCTGCTCTGCGCTGCTTGCCTGGCGTTGAAGCTTCCAAGCCCCACCGCCCCCTGCAGCGCCTTCAGCCTCCCCGTCTCGTCTTCCTCTGCCATTTTGCCACTGATTGTCACGCCACCTGCGTCGCTGCTTCCGCCCTCAGCCTCGCCAGCTGTGCTGTCTGACGTGGCGCTGACCTGACGCATCGCACTGGTAAAATCAGCTGCTGGTGCTGGTGGTGCTGGCTCTAGTGATGCTGCTTCTTCCACTGCTGTTGCTGCTCTTGTTGCTGTTGTTGCTGCTCTTGCTGTTGCGGCTGTTTCAGCTGGTTCTAAGCTCGCACCAACTGCATCTGCTGCCCCTGGGCCTGGCCTTGGCACCGTAACAGCATCCATTGGCAGTGCTGCTGGATCCTCTCCTGCTGCCACAGCACTGGCTGGAACAGGTACTGCTGCTGCTGCTGCATTATCTGCAGACCATCCGGTATCAGTGGCAGCAGCCGCATCACTTAGAGCATCAGCAGCAAGAGCTGCATTCGACCCACTGCTGACCAGAGCACCACCAGTGCTAGTAGGAGTGGCAGGAGCACCAGAAGAAGGATGGCTAGCACCAGCATCACGAGTGTTGCTAGAAACACCAGCAGCAGCCGCAGCAGGCAGAGAAGCTGCAGCGGCAGCTGAGGGGACAGCAGCAGTGGAAGCACCAGCAGCAGCAGCAGAGGGCAGGAAGGGCAGGAGGCGCATGAGGAGGTGAACAGAGGTGGAGGGGTCACAGGAGGGCAGCGATTCAACGCTGGGTGCGGCACGTGGGGAGCGTTGTGGGTGGGGATGGATGAACAGCTGGCGAGGCGTTTGACCAAACTCGTTGATCTGAGAAGGGCATTTGGGGGGGGGGGGGGAGAAGAATGGGAAGGAGAGGAGGCACATCAACAGCAGCAGCAGCAGTAGCACCAGCAGCAGCAGCGGTGGAGGGCAGGAGGGGCAGGAGGCGCATGAGGAGGTGGACAGAGGTGGAGGGGTCACAGGAGGGCAGCGAGGCAAGGCTGGGCGTGGCATGTGGGGAGCGCTGCGGGTGGGGATGGATGAACAGCTGCCTGGGCGTTTGACCAAACTCATTGATCTGACAACGGCATTTGGGGAAATATTGGACAAAAGGGTGGGGGAGGAGTCAAGAAAGATGTCTCGCGTCATCGTCGTTAACAACGGTGATGGCCAAGCATTTCACGTGAACTGCTGGGAATGCGGGCAGCAGAAGCTAAACGAAGACACAGCATGCGAGTATAGTAGATACATGTGAATCTATGAAGTGGCACTTGGGTCTCAACGTTTGAACCCTCCTCCCACACCATGATGCTGAAACTTAAGGGCGGCTTCATTTTTACACGTTTGTTCTAAGTATTCTCACAACGAAACTGGACTGGTATAGCAGTACCAGTGTTTCAACTTTCAATCAACACCATCCAATGCACAGCACACCTGAGTCTCGAAGCCTCTCCTCTCCACAAAGCTGCTGAGCGAGTCGAGGTCCACTGCACCCTCGTAGGTGAGCGGGTGAAAGAGATTGTCCGCCTCCTCTGCTGCCTGGTGGGTTAGTGAGTGAGGGACAGGAGACAAAGAGGGAACAGAATGATTGATGGAGGTCCACTGCACCCTCGTAGGTGAGCGGGTGAAAGAGATTGTCCGCCTCCTCTGCTGCCTGGTGGGTTAGTGAGTGAGGGACAGGAGACAAAGAGGGAACAGAATGATTGATGGAGGTCCACTGCACCCTCGTAGGTGAGCGGGTGAAAGAGATTGTCCGCCTCCTCTGCTGCCTGGTGGGTTAGTGAGTGAGGGACAGGAGACAAAGAGGGAACAGAATGATTGATGGAGGTCCACTGCACCCTCGTAGGTGAGCGGGTGAAAGAGATTGTCCGCCTCCTCTGCTGCCTGGTGGGTTAGTGAGTGAGGGACAGGAGACAAAGAGGGAACAGAATGATTGATGGAGGTCCACTGCCCCCTCGTAGGTGAGCGGGTGAAAGAGATTGTCCGCCTCCTCTGCTGCCTGGTGGGTTAGTGAGTGAGGGACAGGAGACAAAGAGGGAACAGAATGATTGATGGAGGTCCACTGCCCCCTCGTAGGTGAGCGGGTGAAAGAGATTGTCCGCCTCCTCTGCTGCCTGGTGGGTTAGTGAGTGAGGGACAGGAGACAAAGAGGGAACAGAATGATTGATGGAGGTCCACTGCCCCCTCGTAGGTGAGCGGGTGAAAGAGATTGTCCGCCTCCTCTGCTGCCTGGTGGGTTAGTGAGTGAGGGACAGGAGACAAAGAGGGAACAGAATGATTGATGGAGGTCCACTGCCCCCTCGTAGGTGAGCGGATGAAAGAGGTTGTCCGCCTACGCTGCTGCCTGGTGGGTTAGCGCGTGAGGGGGTGAGATAGCATAGCCTGTGAGTTAGCGGAACAGATAAGTGAAACGTGGTCAGTGAGTGAGTGAGTTGAGGTCCACTGCACCGTCATGGGTGAGCGGGTGAAACAGATTGTCCGCCTCTTCTGCTGCCTGGTGGGTTAGCGAGGGAGGGAGTGAGAGAGGATATGAAACAGTTTAGCACTACAAGCTGCAGAGCCAGTCGAGGTCCACTGCGCCCTCGTAGGTGAGGGATGGGAGTGAGGGAGGTGCAGTGAGGCATGTTGGTGAGAGATGATAGAACAGAGAGTGTGACAGCAGAGCGACAGCAGGGAAAGAAAAGTCATAGTATGATCAGACGACATCTGTATGGGAGTTGATACGAGAGAGCAGCAGCAGCACCTTGCCTCGCTGCTTGTATCCGAAGATCAGGTCGATCCAATGGTGGAGATTCGCCGACACCCACTCGCTTTCCAGAGCCTGCACGTGCTTCGCTATGAAATCCTCTGCATCGCTCGCCCTGGCAGAACAAATGGGTGGAGTACAGACGTAGAGTGGTAGCGAGAGGTGCAGAACGATGGGGCTTGGTTGAGGGATGCATTCAGACGGGAAGGTGAAAGAGATTGCCATCAGAAGTTCAGTCACATGAAAGAAGCAACTTGTAAATAAGGAGGTGCTTGCAAACAAGATGCTGAAGGCACCAATACACCTAGAAAAGGCGTCTCACGTTCGAGGCGCCTACAAAATCATCTCACTTCACATCACAGCACAGCACCCACCAAGGAGGCAGCTCCACATCACCAATCGGGACTCCGTTCTGGCGCGTGCCGAGATTGAGGTCCGGCCTGCAAGGTGGTGGCGTGGGTGGGAGAGGGTGGGGTGATGAGGTGATGAGAGGGTGGGGCAATGAGGTGATGAGAGGGTGGGGCGATGAGGTGATGAGAGGGTGGGGTGATGAGGTGATGAGAGGGTGGGGTGATGAGGTGATGAGAGGGTGGGGTGTTGAGGTGATGAGAGGGTGGGGTGATGAGGTGATGAGAGGGTGGGGTGATGAGGTGATGAGAGGGTGGGGTGATGAGGTGATGAGAGGGTGGGGTGATGAGGTGATGAGAGGGTGGGGTGATGAGGTGATGAGAGGGTGGGGTGATGAGGTGATGAGAGGGTGGGGTGATGAGGTGATGAGAGGGTGGGGTGATGAGGTGATGAGAGGGTGGGGTGATGAGGTGATGAGAGGGTGGGGTGATGAGGTGATGAGAGGGTGGGGTGATGAGGTGATGAGAGGTTGGGGTGATGAGTTGATGAGAGGGTGGGGTGATGAGGTGATGAGAGGGTGGGGTGATGAGGTGATGAGAGGGTGGGGTGATGAGGTGATGAGAGGGTGGGGTGATGAGGCGATGAGAGGGTGGGGTGATGAGGCGATGAGAGGGTGGGGTGATGAGGTGATGAGAGGGTGGGGTGATGAGGTGATGAGAGGGTGGGGCGATGAGGTGATGAGAGGGTGGGGTGATGAGGTGATGAGAGGGTGGGGTGATGAGGTGATGAGAGGGTGATGGGTGATGAGAGGTGATGAGAGGGTGGGGTGATGAGGTGATGAGAGGGTGGGGTGATGAGGTGATGAGAGGGTGGGGTGATGAGGTGATGAGAGGGTGGGGTGATGAGGTGATGAGAGGGTGGGGTGATGAGGTGATGAGAGGGTGGGGTGATGAGGGAGCAAAGAGGTGACTGCTGAGTCGAATCGAATCAGAAGCCACTCCGTTCTGGCGCATGCCTACATTGATTTCCGGCCTGAGAGGTGGTCGTGCAGAAGAGAGGGTGGTGAGACTGCGAAAACTATACATACTGTAGCCATGCCGTGTCATGCCATGTCATGTCATGTCATGTCATGTCATGTGTGCAAGTGTGGAGGGTAAGATGTGCATGGTGGTGGTGGATGAGGGAAAGGGCGAGGATGCAAGCAGGAGGAGAAGAGCACAAGAAGGGGGTATTACTAGCAAGACGGGGAGAGTCAGGCAGGCACACTCACGGGAGGAGGAGGCTTGTGATGCGCAAAAAGCGAGAAGAAGTGGAGAATGAGCTCCTTCAACGAGACGGAGCTCTTTCACTTACAGGAGGCAAACGAAGATGGCCATTACGCGCCTCAAAACATGAGACGTCGTTTGGAGTTCTTCAAAGGTCACTCACGGGAGGCGGAGGAAGCGCGCGGGGAGGGAGAAGAAGTGGGGGATGAGTTCCTTGACGTTGGCTCGTGAGGCGTCTCAATAGCCACTCATGGGAGGCCCAGCAAGTGCGCTGTGTGGAGTCTTGAGTCGCCTCAAAAGGAGTAACTCACGGGAGGCGGAGGAAATGTGCTGGCAGAGAGAAGAAGTGCGGGATGAGCTCCTTGACGTCAGTGGCGTTGGACAGCACACTCTCCCACGACTCCTGCAACCCCGTGAACAGCCGGTCAGGTGAGTCAAAGCGGCCGTTCTGATGCGGGAGGGGAACAGGGGGATGGGGAAGTGGGGGATGGGAAGTGGGGGATGGGAAGTGGGGGATGGGAAGTGGGGGATGGGAAGTGGGGGATGGGGAAGGGGGGACTGGGGAAGTGGGGGAGCGAGAATAAGTGGGGAATGAGCTCCTTGACGTCAGTGGCGTTGGACAGCACACTCTCCCACGACTCCTGCAGGCCCGTGAAGAGCCGGTCAGGCGAGTCAAAGTGACCGTTCTGATGGAGAGAGATGGGGAAGGGGGGGATGGGGAAGTGGAGGATGGGGTGGGGGGGGATGGGGAAGCTTTCAAATGGCCTGCGGCTCCTGCGGCACCAAAATCTTGCTAATTGCTTAGACTTTTCTCAGGAGTGTGGAGTTCACATTGTGTAAGAGTGAGGAAGCCACAGTATGGATTCCACAGAGTGTGCGACTGCGTAAGCCGCAGAGTAGAGTGGGTGACGTGCACAGTGGAGAGAGAGATGAGGAGACTCACCTGCAGGCGCAGCATGTGTGCTGGTGCAGAGCGCACAAGCCAGTAGAGCACGTAGCTGCATGCATGCATTGGGGGCACATGTGACTTATGTGGGTTGGATTGGAGATACATGGGTCGGGGGACATGCAATGCAGCGGTCGACATGGCATGGCTGGACGGGATGGTGGTTGCATGCAAAGCAAAACAAGGCAAAAAAGCAGAAAGGGTTCACTGCACCCAGAGTGAAAGAGCAGTGAAGGTACACCCGCCCCTTTCAGTGGACCATAGAGGAGGCTGGCATCATTACACGCGTTGTTGGCCGAAACCCGTTCACACGCGACATATAGGTTACTCTTAGACGGCTTGCTGCGTTTCGAACCCAACGAATTTCAACAGTGGACCATAGAGGAGGCTGGCATCATCACAAAGGAATGTGAAGCTGGAAAGCCCAACGCTGGTGATTCATAAACATATGTAGCATGGTGACTTTTGAGTCGACTTTTGAGTTGAGTCAAAAGTCAACTCAGTGACGGTACACCCGCCCCTTTCAGTGGACCATAGAGGAGGCTGGCATCATCACAAAGGAATGTGAAGCTGGAAAGCCCAACGCAGGTGATTCATAAACATATGTAGCATGGAGCGAAACAGCAGAAAGAGCCCATCCCAGCCCAGCGTACCCAGGAGTGGAGTAGTGAGTGCCGTAGAGGAAAGGCTTGGTTCGCTCTGACCCGCTCTTGTCCCGAGGCATCTGGGGTGTGAGCGTGGGGGGGGAGAAGGGAAGGTGGGTGGGATTGGTGGGGTGGCGAGATGAGCTTTTACTTGACTCAAAGGCTTGGTATGCTCTGATCCACTCTTTTCCCGCGGCAGCATCTGGTGTGAGTGAGGTGCGGAAGGGCAGTGGATGTGCGTGCATGTGATGTGATGTGGTGCCCTGAAGAGGCATGTGATGATGTGTGTGGGGGGGGGGGGGGGGGAGAAGGAAGATGGGGCGGAGATGAGAGGAGTGACAAACCAAGCATGGTAAAAAAAAAAAAATGTGAGGAGACGGCACCAGTGGCAAGCAACGGCTGTAACATCGACATATGTGAAGAGAAAGGGAATGATGAAGGGATATCCGATCCTTGCTTCACTGCGCCGCTCCTCCACTCACTGCACCGCCCGTTGCCTCATGGTACCGCTCGTTATCGCAATGTACCAAATCTTACCTCATCGTACCGCTCTCTGAACTCTGCAAGGCGTGCTGGGTTGAGTGCTCCCACCGGCTGCGGTGATGGAGAGGGAGAGAGAGCAGGGGAAAATGGAGAGACAGGTGAGGAGGGGTGAAGGAGACAGGTGAGAAGGGGGTGAAGGAGAGAAGTAGGGAGGGGATGAAGGAGAGAGGTGGGGAGGGGAAGGAGAGAGGTGGGGAGGGGATGAAGGAGAGAGGTGGGGAGGGGATGGTGGAAGCGCAGCAGACATTTGTGGAGAGGCAGAGAAGGCTGAGGGTCAGGAGGAGCGGCAAGGTGGTGACAGGCAGTGGTCATCGATCCCCATGGGCTATTGAGACGCCTCAAAAGTCAGGAGGAGAAGCAGGCAGGGTGGTGAGAGGGAGCGGTCTTATGAGGCGCCTCGAAAGTGGTGTCGTGTCAGGCAGTGATCATCGCTCCCCATCGGCTACACAACTCACACGAGAATTCTCACCAAGGCGAACAGAACAGAGGTGAGCGCTGCTTCTAAGCGCTGCTTTTGACTGCTCCTCCCAAGTGCAGCTTCGGAGCATACACATGAGGTGGCCGGCAGGCGGGCGGGCAGGCGGGCGGGCGGGCAGGCGGGCGGACGGGCAGGCGGGCGGGCGGGCAGGCGGGCGGGCGGGGCGGACGGGGCAGGCAGGCGGGGCGGGCGGGCGGGCGGGGCATTCACCTTGGAGAGGTCTCTGAAGGAGTGCGCTCGCGGACTATATACCTTCAAGGTGACTTTTGAGTCGACTCAAAAGTCACCTCAAGGTATCCAAATCAAGGTGTGCGCTGGTATGGTCCGCGAGCACCCAGGGCATGACAGGCCACTGCGCCAAGTTGCCCACACTGAGACAGGCAGGCGGAGCAGCAAACCCCGGGGAGAGCAGTCACCTTGGAAAGGTCTCTGAAGGTGGCCGGGTTGTCCAAGTCAAGGTGGTGGCTGGTGTAGTCTGCAAGCACCCAGGGCATGACAGGCCACTGCGCCAAGTCACACATGGTGCGCCCCGCTGCGAGGTTGAGGAACAGGAGGTAGTCACGGTTGGATATGCGGCCGGCCTGAGAGGGGGGGAGAGAGAGGGAAGAAGCATAATGGTGGAGGGTGGGCAAGGATGGGAGTGGATGGAAGTGCAGTCATGCAGTGTATTGCAAGGGGAGGAAAAGACTACTCTGATACGATGCCCCGCCTGCCACAGCCCCTCAACTGCCCCGCCTGCCACAACCCCTCAACTGCCCCGCCTGCCACAACCCCACCTGCCACAGCCCCTCAACTGCCCCGCCTGCCACAACCCCACCTGCCACAGCCCCTCAACTGCCCCGCCTGCCACAACCCCACCTGCCACAGCCCTGTGACCGCCTGCAGTGCATGCGAGCGAGCCTCGAGCAGCGATGCTGCCGCTGCTGCTGGGCTGGACACACCCTGGGACTCGTTAGGGAAGGAGGGACACGGGGGTTGAGAAATGGGGGAGCGAAATATGGGAGGATGTGTGAAACAGGAGAATTAGAAATTGATAATGGTAAGGAAAAGGGTGAGACAAAAGAAGAGTGAGAAGACAGAAGAGTGAGAGAAACGAAGCGGGAAAAAGGAAGAGTGGGAAGAATGAGAGGTACAAACAGGAGGGTGAAAAATAAAGGGCTGTAAAACGTTCGTAAACAGAGAGGGGAAGGCGGACAAGCAAGCACCCTTTCTACTCACGCCCAGCAGCTTCAGCAGCAGGTCAGCAGCTCGGTCCCTTTCCACCTTGGAACCAAACACAAAGAACACACTGCTGCCATCCCCCAACGGCCCTCCGCCCCCACTCCCCCCGCTCCCTCCGCTCCCCCCGCTCCCACCACCCGCCGCACTTCCCCCTCCTCTCCCACCGGTGCCACCTCCCGCTTCCAGCCCTCCTCCCCCTGCGCCTCCTGAGTTGGCGTGCTGCGATTGGTCCGGGCAGGAGAAGAAGATTTCGAGGCCGCGGGGGCGCAGGGAGTGGCGGCGGCGGGCAGCGGAGAGGAGGAGGGGCAGCGGGAAGATTCGGAGGGGACTCTCACTGCTGATGGCGTGCAGTGGCTGCCGCAAAGGAGGGGAAGCGGCGAGGGGGGGAAAGAGGAAAGAGATGAGAGGTGGGAAAGAGAGGAGGAGGTTGAATGGAGGTTAGGCACAGAGGAGTGTGAATGGAGGTTAGGCACAGAGGAGCGTGAATGGAGGTTAGGCACAAAGGAACGTGAATGGAGAGAACGAGAAAGGGGCAAAAGGATAAGCAGTGAGGAGACATGGAGTTCACTTTACTTCACTCGCAGTGAGGTGATAAGAAGGGCATACAAAGGCGTGCTAAGTTGAGAACGGCAGCAGTCAGCACAGATAGCCTATCCTGCACCAGACGTCACATGTTGCTCTAGATGTCACCTGCACCAGATGTCACCTGCACCAGGTGTCACCTGCACCAGGTGTCACCTGCACCAGACGTCATCTGCATTAGATGTCACCAGCACCAGATGTCACCAGCACCGGATGTCACCTGCACCAGATGTCACCAGCACCAGATGTCACCAGCACCGGATGTCACCTGCACCAGATGTCACCAGCACCAGATGTCACCTGGAAGTAGAGCCGCTGCTGTGTGATCACAAGGCGACCGGGCTCCCGAACCAGCGGCCGAACCTGAAGGTGAGGATTGGGTCGGGCAGAAACAATGCAATGGGTTGGAAGAGAGCCTAGGCGGCCTGTAGAGTAAAGGAAAGGCAACCCCCAACTAAACACGCACCTGGGAGGCAAGGCAATCAAGCAAAATGTGCTCGGAGAGGCCCACGAGGCGGCTGACGTCAAAGGGCGCCGAGGTCAGTTGACTCACGTTGACTCCCATTGACTTGACCCACATTGACCTGCGTTGACTCGCATTGACCCACCAGTGAGGCGAGGCAGTCGAGCAGCATGTGCTCGGAGAGGTCCACGAGGCAGCTGACATCAAAGGGCGCCGAAGACTCCATCAGGGACAGGGCCTGTCCGACAGGCGACAGTCACCTTGACGTGGGTTGACTCCCATTGACACACATTGACCCGCGTTGACTCGCGTTGACCCACCTGGGAGGCGAGGCAGTCAAGAAGAATGTGTTCGGAAAGGTCTACAAGGCGGCTGACGTCAAAGGGCGCCGACGCCTCCATCAGGGACAGGCGCCTCGCCACCTCCATGTCCCTCTGCTCATACGGCAGCAGCTGCACTCCCAGCACTGGCAAGGCTTCATCTAACAGCTGGTGAGGAGGGAGGATGTACAGAAAGGATGGGGGGATGGGGGCCTCCATGAGGGACAGGCGGCGCGCCACCTCCATGTCGCGCTGCTCGTATGGTAACAGCTGCACCCCCAGCACTGGCAGCGCTTCATCTAACAACTGGTGGGGGGTGCACGGGAGATGCGGGGTGGAAGAATCAGGGACAGGCGCCTCACCATCTCCATGTCCCTCTGCTCGTATGGCAGCAGCTGCACGCCCAGCACTGGCAGGGCTTCATCTAGGAGGTAAATATGGAATGAAGTGTATGAGGACATGGAGGGATGCGGAAATGAGGGACAGGCGGCGTGCCACCTTCATGTCGCTCTGCTTGTACAGCAGCAGCGGCACCCCCAGCACTGGCAGGCAGCGCCTCGTCTAGGAGCTGGTGATGCAATGCGGGGATGGGGAAAAGGAGTGTGGGGTTGGGGAATGTGGGCGAGTAGTCAAGGGAGAATGCCCACGTGGATGGCAGGTGGCCTTCGTCCAGCTCCTTCCCACCGCACTGCTTGCTGAGTCAGTTACCTCGTAGCATCCAACCTACCTTGTAACCGGGGTGACAGTATCCTAGTTGGCATACCCGCGAGGTGGGCGAGTAGTCAAGTGAAAAGGCCCACGTGGACGGCAGGTGGCCCTCATCGAGCTCCTTCTTCTCAAACTCGTACGGCACGTCTTGCCCACTCGCCTTCATCGCCACGTACATGCCCGTTGTCACATACACCACATCCCCGTAGCCCTTATCTCCCCCATACCCCTCATTATCCCCGTATCCTCCATCCCCGTATGTGCTTCCCCCATACCCCCCATCCCCATACGCATTCCCCAGCCTTCCGCCGTCGCTCCTCCGCCCTCCTCCCCCGCCCCGACCCCCGCCAGGCCTGTCGTTTCCGCCGCTTCCCCCGCCTCCGCCCGCCCCCGCGCCTTCCCCCGCCCACTCCGCGCGGATGCGCCCCTCCGCGGCGAGCTTCGCGCCCAGCTGCGAGCGGTACCGGCGGCGCGACGCGGGGTGGAAAACGACTAATATGTGCGGCATGGGGAACATTATAATGGGGATGGCGGGATCCTGCGGCTCGAAGAAGAGCGATTTCATGCACAGCCGCAGCCGCCCGCCCGCGAGCGCGCGCGGCTGGCCATCCACGAGGTGACACGTGGCGACCCAATCGGTGATGTAGTGGTCCCCGTCGTCTAGGAGGAGGAGCGAGAAGCGCTGATGGCCCTTGCGACGCGCTGCGCCGCTCAGCATGATGGCAGAGGTGGGGAGAGGCGGGGAGAGGCGGGGAGAGGCGGGGAGCGTGTTGAGACGTGGCTATGCGGCGATACTATCGAGACGACTCAGAATTCGTCGAGCGGGAGCGAGAATCGCTGAAGGCCCTCGCGACGCGCTGCCCCACTCAGCATGATCGGTGTGGAGAAGCAGCGATGCGCAGAGGTGGGGAGCGGCGGGGAGGGGCAGGGAGGGGCGATGAGAGGCGAAAAGAGAATTTCGGTTGGTAATATGTTACTTTCGAGATGACTCAGTAGCCGTCGAGCAGGAGGTGCGAGAAGCGCCAATGGCTCTCGCGACGCGCAAGAGACAACACAGGGGTCAGACCACTGAATGCATCCAAGCCACATCGCCTCGATAGCTCCTCGTCGGCTAGAGCGGGGCATGGCATCCTCTAACGGAAACAAATAGAAAAGCAGGACGTATTCCTGGAAATCTGAAATCTGGGAAACAAAGTGGCTCGAACATGTACAAACGTTTTGCCGCAGGAGGTGTGGCTAGGAAAGACGTTCTCAATACTGTACTCTCGGCGAACCAAACAAATGAAACGAAATTCGATCGTTCACGGTACGAATCAAATGCAACTTCCTCTCCGGTGTAGGTCTGCGGGGTCAGTTAGAGCACCTTTGTGAGATCATTCGGTAAAAGTCGTGATTACCATGCACTCTAGTCTATAACTCATTACGAATTGACACACTTACCTACAAGAGCTCTACACTTCCTAAATACTAGCCTGAGCCCTGACTCTGGCAAGGCCCAGTCTATATGTATACGACCATGTTTTATCCTTTTGACATTTAGTTTGAAAACGGCAAACGAACTTCTAGATAGAGTAAAACTCCTGGTCAGCATCCTTACCTGATATCCGCACCATCCCCATCAGCAACTACAGAATCAGCTACACTACAGCCTCCACCTCTGTGCCCACCTCAACAGCACCTGCTGCATCCACCACATGCTTCTCCCCTCCACCAATCATCTCCATGCTCTCCTGCTCTGCTTCTACACCCTCCCCACCAGTAACCACAACCCCAAACCCTTCTTCCTCTCCCCCTCCCTCTCCCGCTCCTGCCACTCCTTCCCCTTCAATCCCTCCCTGCTCTTCCCACACAGCCTGCTCCATCTCCTCCTTGGACCCCTGCTTGAAATACCCTCCTGCAATCTCTATAAGCACATTCAGCATTTCCAACCCCTGGTCCTCGCGTGACTGTATCGAAGCCCTCAGCCCAGCACACTTCCTCAGCAGCTCTCGCAGCGCTGCTGCCGTCTCCGCTTCTATTGGTTCATCCACCCCTGCCGCCCACGCCACCAGCCACATGCCGCGCCACGTGTCGACTGCTGATTGGCCGATGGCCCAGTCCACGTGGGCGCGGAGCAGGGCGGCGCGGCCAACCGCATCGCAGTGCAGCACCGTGCCGAGCAACGGAGCGAGCTGATTGGCCCGGCCCGGGAGCACGCACTCCATGGCTGCCACGTCAGCATCTGACGGCCATGGCACTGGCATGGGAAGGTGCCCATGGTTGTCTTCAGATGGGTCAAGACCAAGGTTGCTGTTTTCGTCATTATCTGGCAACCACAGAGGCACGGGTCCCGCGTAGTTGATCATTTCGTCCAGTGCTGCTTCCACGTCAGCATCCACCTCAGCATCCACATCAGCATCATCTTCAGTGTCCACATCAGCATCAGCATCCAAATCAGCATCTACATCAGAACCGACATCAACCACACTATTGACCTCAACACCAGTTGAATCAGCAGGTTTAGCGTCAGCATCTGTAGCACCCATGTCTGTGGCATCAGCATCTGTGGCACCAGAATCTGCAGCACCAGCAGTCATAGCAGCAGCAGCAGCATCGTCAGGCTCCATATTACTCGCCCTCAATCCGCCACACCCCACGACTCCATCACCCTTTCCCATCACATCCCCTGCCACACCATCCCCTGCCGTCACTCCTCCTGCAACCACCCTCTCCGCCTCCTGCGTTCCTTCTGCAACTGCTTCCAGGTCCTTGACAAGTGGCCTCATTCCTGAGAGTTGCTCTGACAGTTTGTCCAGCAGCCCTAGTGAGGGTGCCTTGCTGTGCGCTGCCACGCACGGCAGCAGCAGCGCCAGGCCTCTGGGGGCTTCCTCGCCTCCGTTCTCCTGCCCACTTTTTTGTCCCTTCTCTTGCTTCTCCTCCTCTCCCCGCTCGCTCTCACTTTCGCCCGATGCAGTGTCATGCGCAGTGTCGTGCGCCGTGTCATGTGCAGTGTCACATGCCGTGTCACGCACACTGGCACCGGCACCACCGTCCACCTCCTCTCTCAAACTCCCACCTTCCGCCTTCCCATCAGCCCCTTCTTCACACGCCTCATCTCCCTCTCCTCTCGCCTCTTCTCCTCCACCTTTCTCCACACACTCACCCGCCCTCTTTCCTCCATCCCCCATGCCTTTACCCTCACCTGCCAAACCACAACCAACCTCACCCCCCTGCTCCGTCTCCCCCTCCCCACCAACTTCCTCTCCATCCTCTCTCTTTTCGCCCCTCGCCTTCTCTCCTCCCTCACCACCCAACTCCTCCTCCCTTCCCCCACCCCCTGCCTCCTGCACCCCCTCATCCTCCTCTTGCTCCCCATCCACATCCTCCTCCCACGCACCCCCCTCCTCCTCACCAATCAAATCCTTCTCCTCATCATCCCCATCCGCTTCCCCTTCCCCGTCTCTGCTGCCCTCCTCCTCACTCTCTCCCCCCTCACTCCCTCCTCTCTCGCTTCCCTCCCCTTGGTTCACCTCACTGAAATCCTCTCCTTCCCCCTTACCACCCGCCTTCCTTCCCGCTCTCCTCTTCGCCTTTCGTTTCACCCCCCCTCCCCCCACTGCCCCTTCGCCCCCCTCCCACTTTTCACAAGGCAGAGCTCGGCCGAAGCAGTAGGAGTGCCATGCGTGCAGGTCGCGGTGGGATGGGATGGGCATGCCGTGACACGTGGCGACTCGTGATTCGTCGACGCCCTCAAGGCTCTGCAGAAGATGGGAAGCAGTGGTGGGGCGGGATGGAAAGAGACAGCAGAGTGTGGTGAAGTGGGTTTGAGTGCGGCAGAGTGGGTTAGAGTGGGGCAGCAGAGAGTGTGGGTGATGATGGGAACCGTCCCCCTGACCGCGGAGTGACACACACTTGCGAGTCGACTCAAAGGCCTAACTCTAACACTCTCATCGGTCTCACCGCCTGTCCTCTTCACCTGCCACCACTCACAATAGCACCCACCTGCCGCCACACAGCAAGACCCCAGCGCCTCCCAGCAAACAACACTCACCCACCTGTCTCAGGTACCCAAAGGCAGCTTGCACGTATTGCCGCCACTCAGGGGAGGGCAGCAGCAGGGCGGGGCAGGCCGGCACAGCAGCCACTCGCGGCAGGTAGCGTGCAGACAGGACCACGGGGGCATTGGTGATGCTGCTGCCGTCAGCGCTGCTAGTATGATTGCCGCCAGGTGGCGACTTCTCGTTGGATGGTGCGACGACCACCTTGGGCACGCGCTCGCGCTCCCACCTGCACAGGGCGGACCAGAGCGGCGGAGAGGGTGAGGGGAGGGGGTGGGAGAGGAGGCGAGGGGAAGCACGGGGAAGAAACGAGTGAAGCTTGTCATTGGGTGGTGCGACGACCACCTTGGGCACACGTTCTCGCTCCCACCTGCGCAGGGCGAACCAGAGAGGAGGTGAGGAGAAAGGTACCGAGTGAATCTGGTCGGGAAAAAAAACGTGGGGAGGTGAGGAGACTGTTATGGAAAAATGAAAGAGAAGGTCGAGTCCATGACACCTACCCCTTTCTAGGTGATGGGACGGGTTGACTCCTACCTAAGACTCGTTGCAGGCTGTGCTACACAAACCCCGAACGTACGGAATGAGGCACGCGCATCAACAGGCTGAGCAACTCAACTCAAACCCTAGCTTCCCCTGGGAAACCTGTGGCGGCCATTCTACCCATTCTTCCCACACTTCCAATTCTTTCTTTTACACTTCCCACCCTCCCCACGCTTCCCACCCTCCCCACGCTTCCCATTCTTCCCAGGCTTCTCACTCGTTTTCCTCCCTCAATAGCGCCCCCCCCCCCCCACCTGACACGGCACGGGCTACTCGAGCCCGTCCTGCCAGGGAGAAGCCAGTTGTGAGTTGACACGTGTCAAAGCAAACCAACCTACCAGCACTACCAACCAGCTCACCTGACTCGTCGTAGGTACTCCAGTCCATCCAGGGGCTGGGGAATGGAGAAGTTCGGCTTGCCATACAGTGGCAGAGCCCTCGACTGCACCCCCTATTTCCCACCCTACTCACTCTTCCCAATGTCCTCCTCCCTCAATAGCGTCCCCCCCTCTCACCTGACACGGCGCAGATACTCCAGCCCGTCCAGGGGGTGTGGAATGGAGGATTGTGTTTGGAAGGCGTGTGTAAGAACGAACTCACCATCACCCTTTATTTCATCCTGCAAGTGGCGGCCCGGCCCCCTCCCTCACCTGACGCGGCGCAGATACTCCAGCCCGTCCAGGGGGTGTGGAATGGGGAAGTCTGTTTTGAGACGCAACCACTAACAGGTGACACGACAAATGAAGTGTATTTATGACAATTCTCAAAAATACACTTCAGCACCACCAGCCCCCTCACCTGACTCGTCGCAGGTATTCAAGCCCATCGAGGGGGTGTGGAATGGAGAAGTCCGGTTCGCCATACACAGGGAGAGCCCTCGCCTGCACCTCCTCTGTCCACTCTTCCCACTCTTCCCATTTAACCTCCCCCCTCGGCAGCAATCCCTCTCACCTGACTCGTCGCAGGTACTCAAGCCCATCAAGGGGGTGTGGAATGGAGAAGTCTGGTTCGCCATACACAGGCAGAGCCCTCGCCTGCACCTCCTCCTCCTCTTCATCGTCCTCCTCTTCCCACTCCTCCTCCTCCTGTTGCACTGCTTCCTGCTTTCCCCGCTCCTGCTTGCCCCAGTGCCCCCTCCACCGCTCCTCCTCTTGGCGTGGTTGTCGCTGTGACTCAGTTGTTCCACACTCCTTCAGACCGTCCCACCTGCCACCAGCGGTAATGCCAGCAGGCACAGCGACAGTGCCAGTAGCAGCAGCAGCAGCGCCAGTAGCAGAAGCAGCAGCAGCAGCGCCAGTAGCAGAACCAGCAGAAACAGCAGAAACAGCAGCAGCATCAGCACCAGCATCGACCACAGCACTGGCATCAGCTGTGCTCCTCCCTGCTTCTTCACCCCTCTGCTGTGCCGGCTCATCTTTGCCCATCTCACCATCACCAAAGCTCTCACCAACTGCTTGCCCTGCCCCCCCCACCTCCTCTCCCGTGGCTTGTGCGGCCGCAGCAGCTGCTGTGGTGGTACCGGTGGCAGTATTGGCAGGAATGGCTGTCGCATCACCTGCGGTCTTGGCAGGACGTGCATCGTCAGTGTTTCCAGTAGTAGTAGCCTCTTCTCTTCCACCAGTCACCATTGTGGCACCACCATCACCATATCCCGCACTGCTGGTGGCAGCAGTGGCAGCAGCGCCAGCAGCAGCAGTGGCAGCACCTGCACCAGAGGCAGCAGCATCAGAACCGGCAGCAGAAGCAGCAGCAGAAGCAGCAGCAGTGGCAGCAGCAGTGGCAGCAGCAGTGGCAGCAGCATAGCATCTGGCCTCGGCTGCCCAGCCTGCCAGGCGTGTGTCAGAGCTGGCTATCGCCTCACTTCCCCCACGCCCACTCGGACTGCCCCAAATACCACCTCCCCCACCACTGCCGCTGTTACTGTTGCTGTTGTTGTTGCTGCTGCTGATGGTGCTGGTGGTACCCTCCCCATGTACATTCCCCCCCCCCTCCCCCCTCTCCCACTCTGCTCCTGCCCCCCTGCATTCTTCCGCCCCTTCCGCCTTGACCCCTTCTCCCCCGCCCCTCCCCCTCCGCCTCCTCCCACTCCTCCTCCCCCACCCCCTCCCCCGCCCCCTCCCCCTCCCCCCCCTCGCGCCACGTCCCTCATGAGCTCTTCCACAGCCAGCTGCATGCTGCCATTCATGGTGCGCCACGTGTCACGCTGGTACTGGACGGATTGCAGCCCAATCTGCTTGAGCTGCTCAAAGGTGTACACGTGGACAGGTGCACACGTGGCTGACCCTGCTGCTCCTGATCCCCTCCCTCCTCTCTTACCACTGTTACCCCCTCCACCTCCTCCCCCTCCTCCCCCTACCCCACTTACTCCTCCTCCTCCTCTATCTCCTCCTCTCCCAACCATTCCACACCCCTTCCCACCCTCAGAACCCAGCATCGCCGCTCCCACCCATCCTTCTCCTTCCTCGTCCCCTCCCTTCCCCCCACCTACACTCCCCGCCCTTCCACTCATTCCCCACTCCTCCCCAGCCCCACAACCACCGCGCTCCATCCCTCCCTGCCCTTGCCATGCCCTCCCATCCGTGCCCCAACCAGACGCCCCTGTTCCCATACCCATACCTGAGCCCATACCTGTACCCATGTCTGTGCACATGCCCGTACCTATGCCCACACCCATGCACAGATCTTTACCAATCCCTATTCCCATCTCCATGCCTGCTCCCATTCCTGCTCCCATGCCTCCTCCCATGCCTGCGCCCATGCCTGCAGCACCAGCCGCATGCATGGGCATGAAAACTCCCCCTTGCACAGCCATAGGACCCTGCATGGGCATAGCACCCCCTCCCTGCACGGGCATGCCAGCAGGCATGGCATGCCATGCCGCATCTCCGCCAACCCCAGACCACCCCCCAGGCGCGCACTGCATGGCGCTCGCAACAGGGGGAACGGGTAGAGGCACGGGCAGGGGCAGGGGCACTGGCAGGGGAAGAGACAGAGGTGGGGTGTAACCGTAACCCCTCCCAAGAATGCCCTTCTGTGCATCTGGGAGCCCGTGGGGAGCAGCAGCATCAGCAGCAGCATCAGCAGCAGCATCAGCAGCAGCATCAGCAGCAGCATCAGCAGCAGCATCAGCAGCAGCATCAGCAGCAGCGTCTGTGCTTGTAGCGGGGGAGGCGGTTGGTTGGGGAGAGGGACCGCCAGAGGGGGGGATTGCAGGCGCGAGGGAGCATGGCGATGCGGGGCGAGGCGAAGACGACTGGTGCGGGGACGAAGAGGGGTGAGCGTGAGAAGGCTGAAGGGTGCGTGGAGTAATGGTGGAGGGAGTAGTGGGGAGAGAGGCGGTGGTAGGGAGTGGGGAGGCTGCAGCAGCTGCTAGTGAGGCTGGGAGGAGAGAAGGTGACTCAGTTGCTACGTGATTCGCTGCAGCATTCCCTGCAGGAATCGCCACAGGAGCAGAGGCAGCAGCAGGAGGAGGCGGAGAGGCACGTGCAGCAATCTCTGGGAGAGAAGGAGCAGAAGGAGCAGTGAGAGAGCAAGAAGTAGCATCTGCGCCTTGACCCGTTTCAACTGGTGCCTCTTCTGACCCACTCGCATCCTCCCCACCATCCTCCGCCCTATCCTGCTCCTTTCCCTGCCCCCTTTCCTGCCCCTGTTCCTGCTCCCCATGCTGCTCCTTTTCCGGCACTCCTTCCTGCTGCCTTTCTCCTTCCCCTTCCCTCTCCTCCCCACCGTTCCTTTCCGATTCCTCACTCACTTCCCTTCCTAGCTCCTCCTCTCCTCTACCCTCCACGCCTTCCCTCTCCTTTTCCCCCCCGCTCTCCACCTCATCTGCCATCTCCTCCCCTCCGCCTCCCCCCTTCCCCTCGCCATGTTCCTCCCCCTCTTTCCTCTCCTCCATCGCCCCACACCCCCCATCTATGCACACAGCACCAGGCAACTCTTCGGTCGGCCCGAAATTCTCTTGCTTCGCGCCAAACTCCCCCTCCGCCCTCGCTTCACCTGCCACACACTCTCCTGCTTCACCTCCGCCTGAACCTCCCTCTCCCGCAATCTCAGCCCCTTCCAATGCCCGGTCTGCCACAGTCTCATCTCCTCGCCTCTCCCCCTCCTCTCCCACGCCCCCCCCTCCCCTCCCCTCCTCCATCACCTGCCCTTGCTCCGCCGCTTCCTCCCTCTCTACCCCCTCCCCTCTCCCCTCTCCCCCTCCCCCCTCTCCCCCCTCTCCCTCTTCTAACCCCCCTCTCCCGTCCCCTACCCCGTTTTCCAAAGTGATTCTCTCAGTATTTGCCTGCTCATGCCCCCTCTCCTCTCTCCCTCTCTCCTCTTCCTCCCTCCCCTCCTCCCGCTCATCAATGCCCCCATCCCCCTGCTCCTCCTCCCCTTCCTCCTCCCCCTCCCCCACAACCTCCTCCCCAGCCATCCACTCCCCTCCATCCTCCTCCCCCTCTCCCCCATACTCGTCCCAACCCTCCGCCTCTTCCCCCGACGCCCCAGGGGCCGTTCCCCCATCCGCCGACCTACTCCCGCCCCCCCTTCTCCCCCCTCCCCCCCTCCACCCGCCTCCCCTTCCGCCACCACCACCCCCTCCTCCCCTTCCCCCGTACCCCCTGCTTCCCCCTCCCCGTCCTCCCCCAGACGAGGAACCCCCCGCCCCTCCTCCTCCCCCTCCCCTCCTGTTACCTCCGCCCCCTCTACCTCCCCCGCTCCCTCCCCCACCCCTCCGCCCACCTCCCCGCCTTTTCCCGCCATCCCCATCACCACTCCCCTCATCCTCCTCCCCCTCTTCCCCCTCACCTCCCCCTTTAGAAACAATCCCGTTAAAAGCATCCGCCTTTCTATCCCCCTGCGCGCCCCCCTGCGCGCTCCCCTGCCTGCGCGCGCCAGCGTCCCCCTCCGCCTGTCGTCCCTGCAGCTGCTGCTGCTGCTGTTGCTGCTGCAGCGCGACAGCCACCACTGCGCCAGCGGGCGCGGAAAGGCCCGCCTCAGGACTCGCTGAGGCGCGCGCAGCAGCAGCGCCAGGCGCAGCAGCAGCAGCAGGCAGGGGCGGCGCAGGGACACGGACGGGGGTAGCAGCAACACTGACCTCGGGGGCAGCAGAGGGTTCGGGGGTGAAAGAGGGTTCGGGGACAGCAGTCGCCGCAGCTGCGTCCGCGCCAGCAGTAGCGACAGCTGTCACGACGGGAGCAGTCGCTGCTGACGTGGCAGCGGAGTGAGCATTCATGGCGGGATGGGTCGGAGGCAGTGCAATGGACCCAGGAGGAGTGGCAGCAGCGACGACGGGATGAACAGCCATGCTCGATGGAACAGCAGCTGTAGCCGCAGCAGAAGAAGGAACGGAAGGGGTTGTAGCAGTGGGCACTGCAGCAGTCGTCACTGAAGGAGCTGTAGCGGTGGATACTGCAGCAACAGCGAGGTTCGTCCCGCCGTTGGCCCTCAGATCGCCAGCTTCTAGGCCAGCCACCGGTGCACCGTTGATCGCCGGCCTTGTTGACGATCCAACGGCGGACAACGTGCCATCAGCCGCGGCATTCCCGAGGCCGTCTGCGGGCGGGGCGGGCTGCGCGACTCGCGGAGCAGATGAATCGCTGGTGGCTAAAGCGGCGAGGAAAGGCGGTTGACCCAGGGGCTGGTGGGGTGGCGGCGGAGTCGCGGTTACGGGATAGCGCGGCGGAACGACCTGCGCGGCCGAGACGATCTGCGGCGGAATAGGGGTTTGGCGCGGTGGGCTTGGGGTTCGGTGCGGTTGGATGGGAGTTTGGTGCGATTCAGCAGGATGGTGGCGCGGCGGAGCGACCTGCACGGCGGAGACGGGCGCGATGTTGTCGGGGCCTAGCAGCTCGAGGCGCCGTTGGCGGATAAAGGCGTTCACCTTAAGGAGGTAATCCGGATCCACCGCGAGTTCCGCTGGCCCCGAGGGCGGGATCTGATGGTTCATGGCGGCGTCGCGGAAGGTTCTCGACCGGATTCTAAGGAACTACCTGCTACAAAACGGCGATTGACTGATGAGTCAGTCGGGCCCACCGCGAGCTTCGCGAGGCCCGAAATGGGGTTCTGACGGTTCACGGCGTCGCGGAAGGTTGTTGCAAATTCTCAAACACCACCGGCTAAAAGACCCTGTTTAGGCATGTCGGGGTGCACCGCGAAATTCGCTAAAACCGATGGAATTATCAGCCATATCGGCGCGTGATAATGACAAACTTCTTGGCTGGAAATAGTGGGAAATCAGGGAAATCACAAGGATTCAGGGGTATTTGAGGATGAGAGAATGTCGGGGGATGGGATGGATTCAAGAGGTAAGGACGTCTTACAAGTGTACAGTCGATGCTCAGCCTATCACAAAAATTTGCTAAATACTATTAGAAAATTAGTCACTCGCGAACGTTTTGCCTGTGAGTGGTGATTGTGCTGATTTCGGGGTACAGTCACCAAGTTGCGGAAGAAAAACATCTACAGTTCATAAACAACAGCGATTGCCCGTCATCAGAATTGTTTACCTGGTTACGAACTTAAACCCCCGGACTCGTTTCAAATTCCAATTTCATTTTACAATCACAATTTTGCCCGTGGCGACAAGGGCGAACAAGACGAGAAGCCTCAAACTCGTTTCACGCACATGCCGCCCGCCTACCTGGTGTTCTTGAAATGAGCACCGACTGTAATCTCGAAGTGTACTGTACTTGTCTGGGTTGGTCAAACTCCACAGTACTTGTCTGGGTGGTCAACCCAGACTTCTGTTTTCGCGAAATTGGAACGTTCTCGCCAACGCACGGTCGATTCGTGCCTGGGAGGTTTCGGGTTTCGGGTACAGCGCGCAGGGGTTGGAATCGCCCGTCCGTTCGGTCGATTGCACGATGCGAGCACATCGACCATTCCGTTACAAAAATGTCAAGTTAGTACAGTGATTTAGGTGGGCTGACGTCATGCATGACAACCTCAGGATCGTGCACTTGTAACGCGTCCTAACTGCCAGAAATTGCGCCGATTGGGATGTATGGGTTCGACAATTTTTCGCATAAATACTTTAGCGCGTACGCTTTCAGGGTGCAACAAAAACACTTTCAGCAAAAACATTCACGCTGAGAGTGATAGCACGCAGTGTTCATTGCTGCTCTGACAACAGCTGCATTGGTTGATACTGCCGTGGTGATGTGCCCTACAATAGCATCACCTGCTGCTGTCGCAGCCTGCTACCTCTAGCTGCTGTGACAAATGCCACCTTGTCGGATACTGCTGTGACAATACTGGGGTAGCAGTGATGATACTGCTGATGTGATAGCAGCAGTCCTTTGTAGGTTGATGCTGTGACAATAGCAGCAGCGCCCGTTGCTGGCGATGCAGTATTAGCTATGTCATATGCTTCTGGAATGATAGTGGCAGCATCCTGCACTACCGTAGCTTTCTCGTGATGTACAACAGCAGCAGTCTCTGCAGTTGTTGTTAGCACATTAGCAGTCGTGTCTGATGCAGCAGAGTGGTAAAAAAAGTAAGAAATAACAAACTTGGGGGCATTAGACGGACAAAAAAATCACTCTAATGGAATGTCAATGATTTTTGTTCAGTCAGACACTTCCGTATCTCGTTCTCATTCTGAACCTGTTGGTCGCCTTCCCTATCTGCATTACTTCCTCGTCTTTCATTCTTCTTCCGTCCAGTGATTAACACCAGTGGTTACGATGTGCTTAACACGTATGTGTTTCAAGGAACACACATTCGCCAGCTCTAAGCAGCCCCGTTGTTATTTTCTTTCCTACGAAGATCAGGACTTTTGAGCAACTGCAAGTTTCTAATATTCAGTGCACACTGTTCTGAACGAAGATTACTGAACAGCTCTCGCTGTTTTTTGCCGAAAGGAAGAAATAACTAGTAAGGACAGCTACATTACGAGACTAACAAGTTGGTAAGGTACCAACTTTCAACCTACCACCGCTGCTACCAACTTCCTCACGCGAGATCACACCTCGCAAACTCCCGTGCAATGCGGCAACAGTGACTTTAGTCGCATCTTTCCTTGCAGCGCTTGGCCTTGTCCTTGCACTTCTTGTACTTGTCCTTGCACTCGCCCTTGTCCTCGTTATTGTCGGCATCGGACTTGCAGTCGGAGTTCTTGGACTTGCACTTCTTCTTCTTCTTGTCGCACTTCTTCTTGCACTCCGAGCTCGCTAGCACGCGGTGCACCTGCGGCGACCACAGAAACCGCCGGCTTCCGCCGACCAGCGCACCCAAGAAACCTGGAATCGGGAAAACGAAGGCAAAGTGGATTATAGATTAATCATTTAGAAAGAAATCAGGGCGAAGGTGCAGGCAATGTTGCAGATGGAGACCCACGTGTGGAATTTATTTGTTTGTTACGTGGGAACAAAATCGACGGCGGGGATCTTACCAGGCGAAGTTGTGACAAGGGCGTTGTCATCATCGTCGTCGAAATCGTCGTCGTCTTCTGTGTCGTTCGCGATCCCATTCGCGTGGCACAGTGGCGCGAGCACGAGGGACAGGAGCAGGGAGAGCGCGAACAGCAGATAGAGAAACTTGAGGCTCCTCATGGTGGCTTGCTCGTGAAGCTCTTTGTGAGCGCTCTGGTCAATGCCACAGAAAACACTAGGCGTGAAGAGAGTGTCAACGTATGATGAGTGTTTCGAAGACAGGAGAGAAAGCACTAGGCGTGAAGGATTGGTGATTATTATTGGAAGTCAAGTAAGCTTATATAGTGATAGCTGGGTGCATGGGAGCAAGTGGATTTCACGATCGTCGAACCGGCCTGTGGGATAAGCTGTGGGTGCGCTGACTGCCTGCACAAGGCGAAACGAGCGGGAATCCCATACCGCCGCAGCGGCTCCGCAGGGGGAGTAAAGGCAGAAAGGGAAGAACGGGAATTTCTCGGCCTCAGACACATTACGAATCGCGTTGTTCCCTCCCTGAGCAAGAAATGTTTGATGTCTGACGGGGCGCAGAGTGGTTCGCCAAAACTAGAACGGAAGGGGCGTATTTTCCTGATGGATTGGGCACCCAAAGACACTTCATGGTCGAGAAAAATAACCGAAACCTGAAACAAGATCTGAAATCATGACGGATCTCGGACTTCGTAACGAGTATCATACATGCAGCTCTGAACACTTTCGCTGAAGGAAAGACACACGGTGATTGCTTAATAAGGCATCGCTTGCAGTCGCAAAACATCGCAATGCAGTTGTTTGTTACGAAGCTGGATGTTCGTAGCAGCGTGAATGCCCTCAAAGTCCTCTTTTGGAAGTTCTGAAACACGACCTGGTTGCTTTGTGCCAGGTCGCCTGACCAAATTTGCCCGAGGCCTTGTCAGCGAGAACTAACTGGCGTAAAGCACGCCGTTGAACATGCCACGTCAACAAAGGGAATCAATTTCAAGGTTGTCATGGATATTGTCAGTGTACCCTTATAATCCATCCCGAAAGGGATCTTTTTAGTGCCTTAGGTCTTCCTTTCAAGGTAGCACTTAGCTACTATGAGAAATAGCTAGAGTCGTGTGACACTAAGCGAAATTGCCTATTTATTAAAAACCAATAAATATATTTATATGCTATTTATGAAACCTTGTGCTCCAGCATCCCAGCAATTGGCTTCTGTCTGTTACGGTTTTCACGATTTGGTGCTAGCAAATGTCATTGTTTAAAGTTGATTTATTATAAATTGGAGATATATACTCTCTTGCTCACTCAAATCAACTGTACCAAAACGGATGAGTGATAATCTTGTGACCAGCAGTCTATGTACTATGCTTTCAACATTGGTGTTAATGCCACATGGGTTGGAGAGTGTACTGTATTGTTCAATAAAGAGTGTAGCCGATGCCACTTGGTCGCGATTTTCCGCCTTTCCTTCACCACCACGAGTTTTCGCTGGGCATCCTGGCGGCTGGGATGGGAAGCTGGAACCCTGGGATTTTCGCGCGCGTTGGGCAACCAGCGATCAAGCCGAAACCCCTGGCCCACGTGGCTGAAACCAGGGCTGTCGATTGGTTTGGAGCCAGAACTTGAGAGGCTGAGGTGTCCCTAAAGCTGCCCTGAAATTTACGGCCTGAGGGCAAACCTAGCACTTGAAATCAGGGCTACCAGCTTTTTTGCACTTTCGCTAAGGGAAACCTACAACTATTCAGGCAATAGGCTGAGGTACGAAACATCTCGATGGATTTGACGGGGATGTTAAAAGAAGGTAGTGTGGGAAGTGACTGGGAGGAGGTGGGGGGACGGGTGAAGGAATGGGAGGGAGGGAGGTATTAGTCTGGGGCATAAGGGCTAGCCTCGGGATCTGCACTTACAGCCAGCCCTTAAAATTCGGAATCTAGGCCGAACCCAGCCCTTAATGTTCTGGGCATTAAGGGCATTTGCCCTTGAATCGTCAGCCCTGGCTGAAACACGCACCAAATTTGCCGCACTCCTTCCCTTCCGCCCTCCCTCGCATTTCCGCATTCCGCGCGTTTCCCACATTTCCCCGTCCCTCCATTTGCCACTGGACTGCAAAGCAATCAGGGCACTGCAAATTGCGGAATTACCACGCCTTGCGCTGAACAATTGATTAGTTCAATCTAGGGCGATTTAGCACGGTCCTGTAGGTGGCAGAGCGGTTCTATGGACCTCTCGCACATTTCTTGCTGTTTCACCTGGTGCACATCATCACACCGCTCCCCATCTGTTATTCATGAATCCAGCACGAATCGACAGTTGATGCAAGTGATCGCTTTTTTACTGTCCATGATCCTGCATGATCACAGCCGTTTCGTACGCTTGAAGACTTCGGGCTTGATTAGTATCCGGTTTGGCTTGTGAAACCATTGTAACTTTCAGTCGCTCCCTTCTTTTGCCCTATCGAGGAATAGCTGTCCCCTTGACCATGTCGGCTTGAAGTGCTACGTGCGTGTGTGTGCGCGAACGTCATTTGCCGTCTACTTCCTACATTTCGTGTTCCTTTCAATTCCTCTCATGGCGGATTTACCTTTACGTTCTAAACACGGAGCTGAGAACAGACGGATAGGTTGCTTTTGCTAGTCAGTCGGTTTCCGCTGTTCTTATTTTCCAGTGTTCGCGCGCACACAGAATGACCAGCCGCGCATTGTACAGTACATTGCATACGTTCAGATAGTAGTTACTGATTAGAACCCATCTGCACCGCTACGATGTCCGTCATGACTGCGCGAACGTCAGCGCGAAAGCTGGCGCAAGTGTTACCATCAAATGTCGTCGCTGATGTAAGCCGTGCACCCCCATCCCTCCTCTCCCCCTTCCCGCTCTCCTTTTATCTCTGTTCTTCCTTTCGCATTTCATATGCTTTCTCACGTATATTTGATTCTCCTCTTAACTTCATTCTCTTCTCTCCTCTCTTCACATTCTTGCTTCTTTCCCCCCTTCTCCCGCTTCCCGATCCTCGCCGTCCCGCGCATCCTCTCCATCCCGCGCTTCTCTCCCTTGCGCCAGATTTACCGTTGCTCGTGCAAGGCGCAGACGGCCGTGAGCCTCATGATCCCGCACGGCGCATTCCATACGATCCGCAACCTCGCTTATGAGGCACCTCACACCCCCCCACCCCCTACCCTCCACAGATCTACCGGTGCTCGTTCAAGAAGCAGACGGGCGTGAGTCTCAAGAACATGATGGCGCACGGCGCATTCCCCACGGAGCGCAATCTGCTCTCCTCCGCGCAGTTCTTGCAGCAGGAGCTGCCCGTGCGCCTCGCCCACCGCGTCACGGAGCTCGAAAACCTCCCCTACGGCCTTTCTACCAAGGCACCCGTGCTCAAGGTAAGCTGCTTTCGCACTCCCTTGGGTCTTGTTCGCCCTTTACCCCTCTCCTCTTACTCATTCCCCTATACCCTCGTACTAACGGAGCTCTAGAACCTCCCCTACGGCCTCTCTACCAAAGCGCCCGTGCTCAAGGTGAGTCGTTTTCTTTATCACTTCCTTGGGCCCTGGTCGCCCTTCACCCCTCTCACCTTACTCATTCCCCTGCGCCCACCGCGTCACGGAGCTCAAGAACCTCCCCTACGGCCTGTCCACCAAGGCGCCCGTGCTCTCAAGGCGCGTCTTGGTTCAAGGCCAGCTGCTTCCCACTCTAGCCCTTCCCCGCGCTCAAGGTGAGAGCTGCCTGTGCGCCTCGCCCACCGCGTCACGGAGCTCAAGAACCTCCCCTAGAGGCTCTCCACCAAGGCGCCCGTGCTCAAGGTGAGCTTCTTCCCCAGCTCAAGGACATCTGCGGGTTCCCGTTCTCACCCCATTGGGCCCTCTTCGCCCTCGTACCCCTCTTACCTTACTCATTCCCCTTGCCCCCTCGTCTCCACCCACATGCTTGACTGGTACGTGGACTCAAGGTCATAAGCGGGTTCCTGCTCTCACTCCCTCGCGCCCTGTTCTCACTCTTTCCTCGCATTCCTCTCATCCCCGTGCATGTGCCCAGGTGCGTGACTGGTACGACTCGTTCAAGGACATCCGCGGGTTCCCCTCCTCCTTCCCATGGGCCTTGTTCGCCCTCTTGCCCTCTAACTTTACTCACTTCCCTCACCCTCTCTTCTCCGCCCAGGTGCGCGACAGGTGCGTGGACTCGTTCAAGGACATCCGCAGGCTCCCATCTCACTTACTAGGGCCCTCTTTCCCCTCTTACCTCGTCCATCCCCTCACCTACATGCGCGCGTGTTTTTGTGTGCATGTGCCCAGGTGCGTGACTGGTACGTGGACTCGTTCAAGGACATCCGAGGGTTCCCAGCCATTGAGAGCCGCGAGGAGGAGCTGCGCTTCACGCAGCTGCTGGCGCAGGTCAAGATGCGCCATAACAACGTTATCCCCACGGTGAGTGAGAGGGTGTTGGGTTGGGTTGGAGGGGAAAGGCCATTGTCCCTGTGGTGTGGACAGGACGAGTTGAGCTTCACGCAGCTGCTGGCACAGGTCAAGATGCGGCACAACAATGTCATCCCCACGGTGAGCTATCCCCATGTTGATTGGGTGTGAGTCGGGTTGGAGAGAAAAGGCCGTTTCCCTCCAACCCGAGTTGAGCCGAGTTGAGCTTCACACACCTGCTGGCACAGGTCAAGATGCCATAACAACGTCATTACAGTGAGCCCGCCCCACCTCACGTGAACAAAAGCCCCACCTCATGGGATAAAAAAATAATGTGCTTTTCAGTCAGTTCACATCCGGGCGGGCGGGATGTAAATACGATTGAACTGACTCAAAAGCACATTTGGTTTTCCCTCATGTGTGCTGCTGATAAGGCTACCACCAGGTGGGCCTTTCATGACTTTCATAACGTGCATGGCTCGTCATGGCACAGCGCATCATGGCACGCTTTGGCATAATACACCATGGCATGGCACACCATGGCATGGCATGGCATGGCGTGGCGTGCCACACCAGATGGCGATGGGAATCAACGAGTTGAAGCAAGACCTGGGGAAACAGGACCCTCAACGCCTCCCCTCCCTCCCTGCCTCCACTGCCCTCCCCCACCCTCCCTTCCCTCCCCATGGCACACCAGATGGCGATGGGAATCAACGAGTTGAAGCAGGACCTGGGGCGCAAGGGGCGGCTGGACGACCTCCTCGAGATCCACCAGTTCCTCGTACGCCCCTCCCTTGCCTGCCATCACTGCCCTAACCGCTGTCACCCCTGCCATCACTGCTAGCCACTGTCACCCCTGCCATCACTGCCACCTCTCCTCCCTACTTCCCGCGCAACGGGCGTCTGGACGACCTCCTCGAGATCCACCAGTTCCTCGTACGCCCCCCTGTCCTCCCTCCCTCCCTCCCTCCCTGCCCTGCTTGCCACCCCTGCCGTGACTGCCACCCCTGCCGTGACTGCCACCCCTGCCGTGACTGCCACCCCTGCCGTGACTGCCACCCCTGCCGTGACTGCCACCCCTGCCGTGACTGCCACCCCTGCCGTGACTGCCACCCCTGCCGTGACTGCCACCCCTGCCGTGACTGCCACCCCTGCCGTGACTGCCACCCCTGCCGTGACTGCCACCCCTGCCGTGACTGCCACCCCTGCCGTGACTGCCACCCCTGCCGTGACTGCCACCCCTGCCGTGACTGCCACCCCTGCCGTGACTGCCACCCCTGCCGTGACTGCCACCCCTGCCGTGACTGCCACCCCTGCCGTGACTGCCACCCCTGCCGTGACTGCCCCCCCTGCCGTGACTGCCCCCCCTGCCGTGACTGCCCCCCCTGCCGTGACTGCCCCCCCTGCCGTGACTGCCCTCGCCCCTGCCGTGACTGCCCTCGCCCCTGTCACCCTGCCGTGACTGCCGTGACTGCCGTGACTGCCGTGACTGCCGTGACTGCCGTGACTGCCGTGACTGCCGTGACTGCCGTGACTGCCGTGACTGCCGCCCTGCTCTCATTGGCCACCCACTGTCATGTCATCAATGACCGCACTGCCTTCACCACCCTCACTCCCCTCACTCGCCTCCCCTCACTCGCCTCCTCTCACTCCCCTCACTTTCTTCTCCTCACTGCCCTCCCTTCCTTAACTCCCCTCACTCTCCTCCCCTCATTGCCCTCTCTGCCCCCACTCCCCTCAATCTCCTCCCCTCACTGCCCTCCCTGTCCTTAACTCCCCTCACTCTCTTCCTCTCTCACCCCTCACTCCCCTCACTCTCCCCCCCTCACTCCCCTCACTCTCCCCCTCTCACCCCCCTCACTGCCGTCACCAACTTGCATCGCACAAACCTCGTTGGAGAAATTCAGCTGTGCCTCATGCCTGCTAAGCTGAGTAGCTGTCACCGCTGTCTGGGCAAGTGTGCTTCGCTGTTGAGAATTCTCAAAAGCAAGTGTGCTTCGCTGCGCTCTGCTGCCCCCTTGGCCCGCTTCCCCACCCCACACCACACCACACCCCTCCCCACGCCTGTCCCTGTGCCCCTGCCCCTGCCCATGCCCACCAGGACCGATTCTACATGTCACGCATCGGCATCCGCATGCTCATAGGCCAGCACTGGGAAGGCTACATGGCACGTATTTCATTGCTGCATGCCCATCTCTCTGTCTCTTGCGCCCCTCCCCCTGCCCACTCTCCCTGCTCACTCCCCTGCCCTCTCCCCCTCCCCACTCCCCTGGCCCTCACCCATCAGGACCGATTCTACACGTCGCGCATCGGCATCCGCATGCTCATTGGTCAGCATGGGTGTATGGGCAGGCCCCTCTCTGCTCCCTGTGAATGTAATCCGCACTCTATCCCTTGCCCCCCATTCTCCCCCTCCCCAACCCCCTCACGCTACTCATGCCCACCAGGACCGATTCTACATGTCGCGCATCGGCATCCGCATGCTCATTGGCCAACACGTTGCTCTGCACGACCCCAACCCGCCACCCCACTTCATTGGGTGCGCCTCTCCTCTCCCCCATGTCATTGGGTGCGCCTTTCCTCTCCCCCCATGTCATTGGGTGTCCCCCCCTCGTATACTGCAACCCATGCTCTAGTACCTCCAATGGGGGCATCTGGCATGCAGCTGGGTACCTTTTTCCGTATCTCGCCTTTTTTCCACTCTCTTCTCATGCCCCCCAGCCCGCGTCTGCCCCCTTCCCCTCCTTGCGTAACGTACTGCGGAGTTCTTTCCCCCTCCTGCCTCTTCTTGTCTTCCTCTCTCCTCCACCTTCTCCTCCCCCCTCCCCCGTCCTCCCTCCCAGGCTGTTCCCACTCTCACCTGCACCAAGGTGCCACCAGTGGAAAATGGACGCTCTTACCCCCTCCCTCCTCTCCCCTGTCTTCCTCTCTTCTCCACTCTCCTCCCTCCCTCGCCGCATCCCTTCCTACCCCGACGTTAACCAGTCTCATCTCATCGCACCAAGGTGCCGCCACCCACTGGACGTGGCATGCAAGGCAGTGGAGGGAGGACGCGCGGTCTCGTCCATTTTATATTCTCCTTGTCTACTTCCGTTTCCCAACCATCACCCTCCTTCTCCCCTACACCTGCTGCTGCGCCCAGGCTCATCTGCACCAAGGTGTCGCCAGTGGATGTGGCGCGCAATGCAGAGGAGGCAGCACGCTCTCACCCCATACCCTCTCACCCTGTCTTCCTCTCTCCTCCACCTCCCCTCTCATTCCGTCCCCCCCTGTCCCCACGCCCAGGCTCATCTGCACCAAGGTATCGCCAGTGGATGTGGCGCGCAATGCAGTGGATGATGCGCGGTCGGCATGCATGCGCACGTACGGCTCGGCGCCAGAGGTGGAGATCTACGGCGACCCCGACTTCACATTCGCGTGCGTGCTTGCACCAACATGCACGTTTGCACCAACATGCACGTTTGCACCTGCATGCACGCGCTTATGCCCACACACGGCATGCATGCGCACGTATGGCTCAGCGCCTCATGTGAAGATTTATGGCGACCCCCACTTCACCTCCGTGCCAGCGGTTGGCTTATGGTTTTCCTAGACGGAAGATGAGCATCCACTCACGCACGCACGCATGCAGGCACGCAGGCGTGCATGCATGCACACATTGAATGTTACTCATGCCCACGCACCACCTGCCCACACATTACTAACATGACCCTAAACCCGCTCTTTGCATGAATGCTGTACGTACTAGCTCTTTTGCAATCCTCAAAGACGAAACCTCTTCCACCCCACCCATCCCATTTCCTCCCACCCCACCCATCCACACCCCTTTCCACCGCACTGCAGCTACGTGCCAACGCATCTACACCAGATGGTATTCGAGCTGTGCAAGAACTCTCTGCGCGCCGTGCAGGAGCGATTCGCCGATGCTGACACCGACCCGCCGCCCATACGTGTGGTGGTGGCCGATGGGATCGAGGATGTGACTATAAAGGTAGGTCTGTGTGTGCGGGGATAACTCTTGAGCAACTCAAAAGTCAACTCACTGACACCGACCCGCCGCCCATACGTGTGGTGGTGGCCGATGGGATCGAGGATGTGACTATTAAGGTAGGTGGGTGGGGACCGTGGGGCGAAGGTATGTGACTATAAGAGGCGGTTGTACGTGTCATGCATGTGGAGATGTGAGTGTAGGAGAACTGCATGTATGTGAAGATGTGTGCTGTCTCTCATGCACTCTGCATCCACTGAACCCACCCCCTGCAACCTCCCTCCTCTCCTCATGTCCCGATGACCTCTCGCATCAAAAAGAGAGGTCTGCACTGATCACTCGCACATCTGGACCTTTCCGAATCCAAGGCACGACATACCCTCTCCCTCACCACCACACCACACCACACCCTTCCCCACCATGTGCTGTGCTCCCTCCATCACTTCTCCCCACAGATATCAGACGAGGGGGGCGGTATCCCGCGCAGTGGCCTGCCTCGCATCTGGACGTACCTCTACAGCACGGCGCGCTCTCCTGCTGCCACCTCCCTCCCTCGCCCCCATGCGATGTGTTTCCCTAAACCCCCCAGATATCAGATGAAGGAGGCGGTATCCCGCGCAGTGGCCTGCCGCGCATCTGGACGTATCTCTACAGCACAGCACGCTCTCCTGCTGCCGCTGGCGCTCTGCAGGACACACCCTCCATCATGTGCGTGTCGGTGGTGGTGCTGTGCATGTGGGATGTATGTGGTGTGAGAGATGTGATGGTGATGTTGTGTGTGCACGCCTATGGCGCTCTGCAGATCACGCCCTCCATCATGTGCGTGCTGCTGCTGGTGGTGGTGGTGTGTGTGTGTGGGGTGTATGTGGTGCGTGAGAGATGTGATGTGATGTTGTGTGTGCATGCCAATGGCGCGCTGCAGGACACTCCCTCCATTATGTGCGTGCTGCTGCTGGGGTGGGGCGGGGTGTGTGGGTTGTGTGGTGGGGTGGTTCTCCTACCAAATTTGCGCCTCCAGAACTCCATGCACTCTGGGACACAACATTCACCCTCCACCCTCTCCTTTCACGCCATCCGCACAGTCCATTACCAGGAGGCGTGCTTTGCACGTATTTGCTTGTATTGGCTGTGATTGTGCTGCGCGTGCTTGTATTGAGCAGGGCGGGCTATGGGTATGGTTTGCCAATCAGTCGGCTGTATGCGCGGTACTTTGGAGGCGACCTCCAGGTGGTGTCAATGGAGGGTTACGGCACAGACGTCTACCTCCACCTCAACCGTCTCGCCAACGTGCAAGAACCCCTGCCTTAATTAAGGTTTGGTTGTCTAACGTGTAATATACCCTAATTTTATGACTGTAGGCTCACCACTCATCCCTTCTGCGACATGGTTTTGGGCGATGTATTATGAACGGAACAGATGCTGACATATATTTGCACCTTACAATTATCTTACAATATAGGACAACTACTCGTTAAGCGGGTTAAGTGTGCAAATGAATTTTAGAACGCCTTGAAGCGAGTCTGTCAAACGCGGCAGGCCAAAAAGTTCCGGTGATGCTGGACCCAATCCGCGTCGTCGTTACAGGTCATGCGACGCCGCACTCTTCGTCTGACGTTTACTTACCGTCGCAGTCCTCCCCAGCCAATCAAATTATTTTGAATGTTCCCCGCTTCTCCCCACCGATGCCCACCGCTTGTCGTCGTCTGCTCGTCGCAACAGCTGCGGAGGTGCAGCGAGGCTTCCTTGAACCGTTTCGCACAGCGACGAAGCATTAGCTGCGAATCGCACACCGTTGAACATGTCAGTCGCAAAGCACAACACACGCGCCGTCGCAGTCGCAGCAGTTCGAATGAGACCAAACGAACCATTTCAAGCGCGTACAAACAAACTTGGGAGACACGGGTTCATAATTTCACATCCCATCTCCCAATCCCATACCTTCTCCCTCCATTCCCCGTCTCCGATTTCTTTAGCTCGAACCAAGTTACCCAAATTCGTAATTTCTCATCTCCCGTCAAGGCTAAGGATTTGATATTTGCAACTGGAAGTTGAATGGAGGTCCATTCGGACAGAGGCCTCGAGGTTCCAGCACCGTGTTATTACGGGCAGTTAGCTACAAGAGAGACCACTGAGCCGCGAGTAGTGGTAACAGGTCGTAAGCACAAAGCGGCGCGCTTGTCGATTCCCAGTCGCAAGCGGCGTTGCGTCCAGTCTTCCGCCGGCGCGGCGCACACTAGCGCGGTCTCCTCCGCGGAATCCCCTTCTGCGAGCGACGATCCGCTTGGCGCGGAGCGGCAGTACCGCGGAGTGCGGCAGCGGCGGTGGGGGCGGTGGGTGTCGGAGATCCGCGAGCCGCGGCGGGGTTTGCGCATCTGGCTGGGGTCGCACAGCAGCGCGGAGCAGGCGGCTCGGGTGTACGACGTCGCCGTGCGACTGCTGCGCGGCGACGGCGCGATCCTCAACTTCCCTGACGACCAGCGCGAGGTGAGGCGCGGCGAGGCAGGCGAGGGGAGAGAGACGAGGCGAGTAGAGGTGGCGAGGGGGCGAGTGGTTGAATATGTGTCGAGGAGAGAAAAGTCATTCTGTCCCCGCTTTGTCTCTCTGTCCCTCCTTTCCCTCTCCCTGACCATGTCCCCCCTGCACGCGCTCATCGCGTCTCCCCCTATTCCTCCGCCGTCCCCTCCCCCACACACCGTCCGCAGGTGCCCCTACCTCCCGCCATCGCCGAGTCTCTCATCCACGCCTGCGGGGCCCTCTCCTCCAAGAACTCGCTGCCTGGCGCTGACAGCATGGCACCCCTCCGCCCTCTCCTCTCCTCCGCCCACGCGCACGCGCCTTCCTCCTCCACTCGTGCTGCCACACCCGAGCCCTGCGCTGTTCTTGCTGACCCTGGCTCGCTGGCGGAGGAACGAGTATGCCTGACTGCTGCGACTACTGTACACGGCAGTGGGATGGGCGGCAGTGGGACGGGCGGCAGTGGGACGGGCGGTAAGATGGGCGGCAGTGAAACGGGCGGCAGTGAGGGTAGTGGTGGTGAGGAGGAGCGGGTGGAGGGGAGAGACGTAGAGGAGATGGAGGAGGAACAACAGGAGAAGCTGCAGCAGGGGGAGAAGCAGGAGCAGGAGCAGGAACAGGAGCAGGAGCAGGAGGTGTGGGGGGATGAGCTGGAAACTTTGCTAGCTTGCGAGCAGCAGATTAGGCAGCAGGTGGCGGAAGAGCAGGCGGGGGAGGAGGCGGAGGGGGAGCAGGCGGAAGGGGAGCAGGCGGAGGGGGAGCAGGCGGAGGGGGAGCAGGCGGAGAGGGAACAGGCGGAGAGGGAGCAGGCGGAGAAGGAGCAGGCAGGGAAGGAGCAGGTGGAGGTGGAGCAGGCTGAGGGGGAGCAGCAGGGAGGGAAGCAGGAGTGGCAGGTTGAGTGGTTGCTGGCATGCGAGCAGCTGCCACTGGACGACCTCACTGTGGGTGACTCCGAGGGTGCTCTGACTTTTGAGGCGCCTCGAAAGCTGCCACTGGACGACCTCATTGTGTGTGACCTCATTGCTCTAGTCGCTCGTGTCCCGCTTGCTGCTGATTCTCTGTGTGGTCATGCGGGCACTGCTGTGAGTGAGGCGGTGGTTGGGGTTGGGGAGGAGAGCGGACGAGAAGGGGCAGCGATGGGAGTGAAAGGGCATGTTGGAGCCGCCACTCTTCCCGTGTTCGTGCAACCCAGCCAGCCAAACAACTGCACCGCCGTCATCACCAGCAGCACCGCAACCAGCACGAGCACCAGCACCACCACAACCACCACTACCAGCAGTATGAACGGGACGAGCAGCAGCGGGCACAGCGACAGTGACTGGTTTTCGTCCCTGCCATCGCACTCTCTCTGCTCCTCCCTCCCATCGCCTGCCCTCACCAACACCTCCCCGCCCCCTCTCACTTTCTCTCCCCCTCACTGTCCCTCAGCTGCCCAGACTACCCCTCTCCCTCTCACTCTCTCGAATCCTGCCAGCGCATCACCACCATCGTCCCCGTCCTCCTACCCGTGCTCCTCCCCTTCCTCCCTCTCCTCTCCCACGTCCCCACTGAATCCCCCAAGCGTGTCCCTGCACAGGCCACCCTCAACCCCACAGCGCCTGGGGCACTGTGATCCTTGCTCGCCCCGTGCTCCCAAGCTGCCTTCCACCTGCGCTACAGGACATGCCCTGACCACCACCCTTGCTGCTTCTCCTACCGCTCCTCCTCCTCTTCCTCCTCTTCTTATCGCCACTTCTCCTGTCCCTGCTGCTGCTAGTGCTGCTGCTGTGCCACCTCCCACAGCACCCGAACCTGCACTGCACAGGTCGCCTTTCTTGCCCCCCCCCGACCGCCCTCGCCCTCCCCATCCTCCTCTCCAACTACCAACTCTCATCAACCACAATTGCAGCAAACCATACAGTACCAACGCACACAGCAGCTGCGTCTACAGCGGCGAGATGACCCCCACGCTGACAGTTCAAGCCATGGCGCATCTCATCTCGCCCCTCCCCCTCCTCCACCTCCCCCTCCCGCCTTTGAACTCCCCCTCCCCCCTGCCCTCCCCCGCCCTTGCCCGCTCCCTCCTGCTGCACTTCAGTGCTGCTATCGCCTGCCGCCGTGCCCCCGCGCCTCCTGCCCCGCTCCCCCTCCCCCTCCACTCGCTCCTCTCCCCATCGTGATTCAAAGCACTGCAGCAGGCATGGGGTGGTGGCTTGAGTGAGCAGAGCAGCATATCAAAGAAGACCAAGCCATTACGGGATGCATCGCTCCATGCCATGCCATGTTATTCCTGCTGCTGAGCATGGAGCACAGAGTCGACAACTCCCCTTGATTTATCCGTAGTGCTCCTCTCACAGAGGAAGGCGTATATATTGCAATTCATCTTGCTCATTCGGACTGGCGGAGTCGGTCTTGCTCATTGGTCAGAAGCACAACTTGCTGCTGTGGAAGGGTTAGAGTGCGTGATGATATAGTGCTAGTTGTGCTTCTGACCATGAAGGAAAATCGTAAAGGTAACTTGTTGAATGTGTTTATCTACACATAGTTTGTGGTGTTATGTCTGTTATATTATCCGACCTTGTATTTGCGAGTACACGCGGTTTCTTGGTTTCCTCCCGATATTTTCCATCCACTTTTCGCGCAACACGTGGCCTGACGTGCCCTTGACCTTTCTGCGCTGGAATCCCCCGTAATCTTTTGTACGCGATATTACCATCTTCGCGAAAAATCATAATAGTTTTCACGCTTTTTCCCACATCATCCCGTCTCCCTCCGACCCTAAAAAACGCTTTTCTCATTTCACACGATCACATCCTTCCCTCATTCTGCCCGCATTCGGTTGCTGTTGCTGTGCGCAACGTGTGCTGCCGTGTCCAACTCACGCGACCCGGAGGTCTATGCGCCTTCGAGTCGCGCTTCCCGGCTTACCGATCTTCCTCATTCGAGTACCCACCATGGCTGACGTTATTCGGGGACTCAGCAGACCGCTCGGCGCGCAGCAGCAAGCAGCGGCACTTGTGCCGCGGCGCGCGGCTCCGTCGGCCGCCCGCGCGCGGATCGCTCAAACGTTGCCGCCTCGCGTTGCTGCGCCTTTCCCCACGGGCTCGGCGACGCTACGGTTACCATCTCCTCCTTCGCCTCTCCTCGCTCGAGCTCTCCCGTTAGCGTCGCGGCTCTCCTTCGCTGCTCCCCCCGCCCCTTTAGCCCCCTCCAGCTGCTTTTCCCTCCGCCAATCAGTCCCTCACGCGCGCGCAGGCTTTACCCGCGCACCTGTTTTGCTCTCCGCGTTCCACCCGCGCGGAGCATGCCGCGCGCAGGCGCACGATAGCGCGGCTTCTTTGTCGACTCCTGTAAGTTCCGCGGCAGCTCTCCCGGGGGAAGGCTCCGCGGAGCGCAGGGATAGCGGAGCAGCGGAAGCGGCGGACGGCTCGAGGAGTGCGCAGGGGGAGCCGTTTTTGGTGCTCAACTTCTACCACTTTGCTGACGTGGAGGATGCCCATGGTGACGTGGAGCGGCACCGCGCGTTCCTGCAGGTGTGGTTTGAGAATGAGGTGTAGTAGGGAAGGTACTGAACACGTTAACGTCCTCGTCAACGTTAACGTTGACGTTAACGTCAATGTGAAGGTGTAGCACTGCAGTTGCCAATGTTGTGTGCTCAGCTCAGCGCCTCACTTGTCACACTGCGTTAGCGCTGGTCCTTGCACTCTGTCTGTCGCCCTCCTCCCTTCACTTTCTCCCTTCCCTTCCTGCCTGCCTACCAATCTCTCTTCTTGCATTCCCGCCCGTGCGCATGCGTGTGGCAGGAGCGGGACATCCGAGGCCGGATATACATCAGCCACCAGGGCATCAACGCACAGGTGAGGGAGGAAGGAAGAGGCAGGTGGGGCATGAAAGGGTGGGCGTGTGTGCGTGTGTGTGGCAGGAGCGGGACATCCGAGGCCGGATATACATCAGCCACCAAGGCATCAACGCTCAGGTGAGTCGCCAGGGGATCAAGGAACAGGTGATGGAGGCAGGAGCGGGTGAGGCATGGAGCATGGGTGTTGGTGGTGGTGGTGGTGCAGACGTGAGAGTGACTTGGCATAGCCCAACGGTGCAGGTGCAGCATGCATGGGTCAAGACTCGGAGCTCAAGTTTAAGGTTCAGGGCTCAAGGTTCAAGGGCTCAAGGTTTGAGATTTAGGGCTTATGGTCAAGGTTCAGGGTTTAAGGTTCCGGCCTCAGGGCTTAAGAGTGAATATGGCTCTACACAATCTTCATCATAGTGTGAAGTCACGTTGTTCGCCTTGTCCTTCTCCAGCACCGCACTGTACCGTTCACCTGTTCGACTTGCGAGAATGTGGCCTTTGAGAAGGGGAAAGGCAAGTGGGTGTGGGCGAGGGCAAGAGCGAGAACTTAGTGGGAAAGGGGGCCGGAGAACGAGAGGGAGAGTTCTTGCATGTCATTGCACCCTACACGAACCATGTGGCACTCTCTTAAACCCTTCGCTCGCCTCGTTCCCTCCACGTTCCATGTTCCAACGCACCACACCCTCCTGTTCCTCTCCGCATTCGCTCCTCCCTCGCAGCTCAGCGGGCCAGCCTCGCACGTGATGGAGTACGCAGACTGGGTGCGCAGCAACCCCTGACTCCCCCATCCCACTCGACATTCTCTCTTTCCTCCTCCCATCACATCGCATGCATTCCCACACACACCGCTCCTCCCTCGCAGCTCAGCGGCCCAGCATCCCACGTGATGGAGTACGCAGACTGGGTGCGCAGCGCAGCGACCAGCGCTTTGCCCTCTGTGCGCTCCCATCCCACTCACACGCCCTTGCTTTCTGCCTCCCATCACCCCCCACCACCCCCCACCCACCACATCAGCTCACCGGCCCAGCATCCCACGTGATGGAGTACGCAGACTGGGTGCGCAGCGACCAGCGTTTTGCCGGGGTGCCGCTGCAGCTGTCGCCCTCCCCCATCGGCCATGCCTTCCCTCGCCTCCGCCTGCGCTACAAGCCCGCGCTCGTGCAGGTGGGTTGTCGTGTCTACAGCACCACACTGTGGGAAATTCATGTTTCCTGCAACACAGGGACAGCCCTCCCCATCGGCCATGCCTTCCCGCGCCTCCGCCTGTGCTACAAGCCCGCCCTCGTGCAGGTGAGCGGTCTTGCCTGCACCGCACCATTTGCAGCACATTATGTTTCATGCAGGCTGCAGCACAGGGATAGCTGTCGCCCTCCCCCATCGGCCACGCCTTCCCTCGCCTCCGCCTGCGCTACAAGCTCGCGCTCGTGCAGGTGGGATCTCTTGTCTTGTCTGTTCCACACTGTACCTGTTGCTGCCTGCTGTGCGCATGGGATGGCTACTACAAGCCGGCCCTCGTGCAGGTGGGTGGTCGTGTCTGCACCACACTGTGCCTTGTGCAGCACAGGGACAGCTGTCGCCCTCCCCCATCGGCCACGCCTTCCCTCGCCTCCGCCTGCGCTACAGGCCCGCCCTCGTGCAGGTGAGAGTCAGCCCGCCCTCGTGCAGGTGGGCTGTCTTCCCTGCGTCGCTCGGCACCTTCAATGTGCAGGTGGGCTATCTGTAGCACACTGTATCTCCTGCTGTGCTGTGCACGTGAGTGTGTGCACCACTCGGTAACTTATGCTACCTGCTGCTGTGAAAGTGCCCTAACGCACGTGAGGCAGGCTTTTGATTCAGTTGACCACCTTGTGTAGCTCTCAACCCATCTTACTTGCCCAATCCCCTGTGCCCCCTCCACTCGCCTCGTTTCTCTCCCAACACTCTACTTGGCAGGAGGCATGCAGCAGCTGTCTGCCGACCTCTCTGCTGTGCTGCCGTCGTTGTCCCGTGCTCGCCCATACATCCTCCCTCCCATGTTTCCCCACCTCTTCCCTCCCCCTGTGCTGCACCCCAGGTGGCAGGCGGCATGGAGCAGCTGTCTGCCGACCTGTGTGCCGCCACGCCCCTGACCCACGCCCCTGACCAATGCTCGCCCACGCAACCCCCCTTTCAATACTTCCCCACCATCAGGTAACGGGCGGCATGGAGCAGCTGTCTGCCGACCTCTGTGCGGCCACGCCGCTGTCCCACGCTCGCCCACACATTCCTCGTGCATCCCCCCCTGGTTCTTCCTAACTCCATGCCCTCTTCCCACTCCAGGTCACAGGCGGCATGCAGCAGCTGTCTGCCGACCTCTGTGCCGCCACGCCCCTGTCACCCGCTGAATGGCGCAGCAAGATCGACCAGATGCAGCGGGGGAGGGGGAGGGGACGAGCGATGGGGAGGGGAAAAGCGGGGAAGATGGGGAGGGCGAGGGGCGTGGGGAGGAGGCAGTTGCGCGCACCAAGAAGATTCTGCTGCTGGACGTGAGGAATGGTGGGTGGTTGCTGGCTGGCATGTTGTTGTTTGATTGAAGTGTGTGTGCGAACACAATGGGTTTGTCAGACGGTGCGCGCAACAGTGGGTGCAAGCGTGCCTGGTTGTAGCATCGCCCAGAGACCATCCTGCTGCCGTCCCCTCCCGTTCCCCGTCTCCCCGCTCCTGCCCTCCCCTTCTCGCCCTCCCTTCCCCTCTCCCCCACCCGCCAGGCTACGAGTGGGTCGTGGGGCATTCAGTGAGTGAAATGAGACCCTCTCTTTCATTCCTTAGCTTCTCCCTCTCGCCTTCTCTCTCTCCCCACTTACCCCAAATCCCCCGAGCAGGCTACGAGTGGGACGTGGGGCATTTTGCGGGGGCTATGGGCCCTCCAGTTGACAACTTCCGATCCACCGACCAGCCAGGAAGAAACTTCACTCATTGCAGACCCCATTTTCCATTGTCTCTCTCCCCTTCCCTTCCCCCCTCTGTCCCCTCCCTTCCCACCAGGCTACGAGTGGGACGTGGGGCATTTTGCCGGTGCGGTGCGCCCTCCGGTTGACAACTTCCGATCCACCGAGTTCGGCTTGCAGGAGGTGAGGCTTGCAGGAGGTGAGGCTTGCAGGAGGTGAGGCTTGCAGGAGGTGAGGCTTGCAGGAGGTGAGGCTTGCAGGAGGTGAGGCTTGCAGGAGGTGAGGGTTGGACGGCAGGAGGTGAGGGTTGGGCGTCAAGAGGTGAGGGTTGGGCGTCAAGAGGTGAGGGTTGGGCGTCAAGAGGTGAGGGTTGGGCGTCAAGAGGTGAGGGTTGGGCGTTAAGAGGTGAGGGTTGGGCGTCAAGAGGTGAGGGTTGGGCGTCAAGAGGTGAGGGTTGGGCGTCAAGAGGTGAGGGTTGGGCGTCAAGAGGTGAGGGTTGGGCGTCAAGAGGTGAGGGTTGGGCGTCAAGAGCATGGGGAGGTGTGGTTTGGCGATAAGGGGGTGTGTGAGACGAGGAGGTCAGGGGATACAATAGAAGAGGTAGGATGAATGTGTGCTGTTGCGTGGGAGGTTGGGGGTCTTTGCTGCTCTGTGTGTGTTTGCCCAACTCAACAACCCTTTCCTGCCGGCCAGCCCCCACTTATCCACAGGAACACACTGAAGCCACCACAGCAGAAAAGCAGCAGGAGGAAGAGGAGGCAGAGGGTCATGGGGCAGGGGGTCTGCTCTCAGCAGCAGACAAGGAGGAGACAGAAGTGCTCATGTACTGCGCGGGGGGCATTCGCTGTGACGTAGCCCACAGCTCGACTCAACAACCCTCTCCTGCCTGCCATCCCTCTCTCCCACTCGCCTCAAGGAACACACAGGTGCTACCACAGCAGAGCAGCAGCAGCAGGAGGAGGAAGAGGAGGCAGCGAGGCAGGAGGGGGCATACGACCCGCTAGCAGAAGCAGACAAGGAGGAGACAGAAGTTCTCATGTACTGCACGGGGGGCATTCGCTGTGATGTGTACTCCGCACTGCATGTGTGTTCTTCCCCCACAGCCCCACTCAACAACCCTCTCCTGTATGCCAACCCTCTCCCACTTGTTTCCAGGAACACACCGGAGCTACCTCAGCAGAGCAGCAGGAGCAGCAATATGAGGAGGAGGAAAAGGAGGAAGGGGAGGCAGGAGGGCAGGACGGAGCATACGATCCGCTAGCAGAAGCAGACAAGGAGGAGACAGAAGTCCTCATGTACTGCACGGGGGGCATCCGCTGTGACGTTTACTCCGCGCTGCTCCGACAGCAGGGCTTTAAGCGCCTCTACACTCTCGAGGGCGGGGTTGCGCGGTACATGCGTGAGCAGGGCGGCGAGCACTGGAACGGACGGCTGTTCGTGTTTGACTCGCGGCTCGCTGTGCCTCCCAGGGATTACCAGGTCGGGGGGAAGGTGCTGCGGGCGGCGGAGGAGGAGGGGGTGGAGAGGGTTGGGGAGGTGTTGGGGGAGGTGATGAAGGGGGAGGCTGTGGCAGAGGAGGAGGAGAGTGTGGGGTGTCAGAGGTGTGGAGGGCGGTTGGAGGAGGTGAAGCATCGCAACTGTGCCAACTCAGACTGCAACGCCCTTATTCTGTGAGTTTCTATTCAGTCTCTTTTGGAGAGGTGGTGTGAGAGGGATGGTGTGACAGGGATGGTGTGAGAGGGATGGTGTGAGAGGGATGGTGTGACAGGGATGGTGTGAGGCTGAGAGTGAATGATTGTGATGATGTACTGTGGTGTGGGAACCTGAGATGTGTCCTGGGTGGGTTATGCTGCGTGTGGTGTGGTGTGGTGTGATGCGGTAATGTGATGCAGTGCAGTGTGAAGGGGCTGATTTGGCATGTGCATGCACGCAGTCGTCCTCCTGAGCTGTCCCCCCCCTCCTCCTCCTCCTCCTCCTCCTCCTCCTCCTCCTCCTCCTCCTCCTCCTCCTCCTCCTCCTCCTCCTCCTCCTCCTCCTCCTCCTCCTCCTCCTCCTCCTCCTCCTCCTCCTCCTCCTCCTCCTCCTCATCCTCCTCCTCCTCCTCCTCCTCCTCCTCATCTCACCTCTCTACTCCTCTATCCTACCCTCCCCCTACCCTCTCCCTCCTTCCAGGATCGGTTCCGCATGTGCTCAAGACATGAATGGCGCCTGCAGCGCCGTGTGCACTGCTGAGCGCCTGCACACCTACCTGCTCTTTCTCTGCTCCCCTCCCAGCTCTCTCTCTGCTCACCCTCTGCCTCCCCCCTGCCCTGTCCTGCCCGCCCCCTACCCTCTCCCCTCCTCAGCTTCTGCTCCAAATGCGCTCAAGAAATGAATGGCGCCTGCAGCACCGAGTGCGCTGCTGCTCCCCGCTTGCACCCTTCCTCGTCCACCCCGAGCCCTACCAACGCCTGCACGCCTACCTTCCCTCTCTCTGCTCACCTACCCTTTCCTGCCCTCCCCCTATCCTCTCCCCCTCAGCTTCTGCTCCAAATGCGCTCAAGAAATGAATGGCGCCTGCAGCGCCGAGTGTGCAGCTGCTCCCCGCCTGCGCCCCTTCCTCGCCCGCCCAGTCTGCACACCTACCTGCCCATCGCCCCCTCACTGCAACCCCCCTGCCCTCCCATGCCTCCATTTCCCTCTTCAGATTCTGCTCCAAATGCGCTCAAGAAATGAGCGGTGCTTGCAGCGCCAAGTGCGCTGCTGCCCCCCGCCTACGCCCCTTCCTCGCCCGCCCAGAGCCCTACCAGCGACTGCACACCTACCTGCCCATCGCCCCCTCAATGTGACCCCCCTGCCCTCCCATGCCTCCATTTCCCTCTTCAGATTCTGCTCCAAATGCGCTCAAGAAATGAGCGGTGCTTGCAGCGCCAAGTGCGCTGCTGCCCCCCGCCTACGCCCCTTCCTCGCCCGCCCGGAGCCCTACCAACGCCTGCACATCTACCTGCCCATCGCCCCCCCTCCTCGCCCCCCTGGTTACGTGTCCCGCCGCGCCCTCAAACGGCGAGCACGCAAGGCCAGGCGCCTTGCAGCAGAGGTGGGTGAGGGGAGCGAGGTGGACCAAGGGGGGCAGCAACAGATGGGTCGCGGGCAGGAAATGGAGATTGCTGCTTGATTCCCCTCCCCTGTGGGCTTTTTGGGCCTCGCTCCCCTCCCGCTTGCCCCCCCGGGATACGTGTCGTGCCCCGCCTTCAAGTGGCGAGCTTGCAAGGCCGGACACTTGGCTGTGGGGGCGAAGGGTGAGGGGCAGGGGGCGTGTGAGGTTAGAGAGGCATCAAAAGGGGCACGAGCTGGGTGGGTCGCGGGCAGGAGGCAGAGGTAGCTGCTTGATTTCTCTGTGGGCCATGGCGTGGCGGCTTGGGTGGACCACTCTGCTACTGTTCTTCCCACAAAGCGTGTTCTGTACACGGTAGATAGGTTGCTTTAGGTACTGGTAAGAGAGAAGATTTGGTTGATAGACTGAATGTGCGATGCCAGGAGTGGCTGGTCACCAGAGAGCAGTGTGGCAGACGTAGTGGCTACGCTACGGTACTTGTAACATTCTTGATATGTGCTGTGCTGCAGTTGTAAGAAACGTGTACCAACCAACCCCCTGTTCAGTGGAGGAATAAAATTAGTTCTGAGAGCATTAAGGATTAAAAGGATTTCTTGTTTTAAATTGCAGAGCATGGTCACACTGCTATCTACTATTGCATTGCACATCTGACCACAGCACAAATAGTTATACATAAACTTAGGTATCATAATCCAATCCAACCTATGTGCGTATGCTATGCGCACTTCCTCATGAATTCCCAACATCTTTCTTTCCCTAAGTGTTGTAAGTTGCTAATAGTCAGGGTGATTGTTAGGAGTAACCCTGTTGACCGTTTTTTCCCTGTGGAGGTTATGTTCTCCTTGACTTTCAGGGGATTTTTATTTACATCCTTGTTGCCTTAGTGTAACGTTCTGAATTCTTGATATTGCTCTGTAACGGGTACAAGGCGCTACGAACGTGCACAAAAGTTGATTTGGTGCCTTTCAGGTTTTACGGGAAATATCTCCAGGTGGCGGCGCCCAGACCACAGCCACTACGTGGTCTCAGCAATATTCCACGTCGATATGACGTGGAGACCTTAACCCTAGCTCGTCGTGAGCTCTTGTGGTGTGCAACTGTCTCAAAAAGTTGCACCAGCGAAAAGGTCCTCAGGTCAGGTACCAACTCTGCTTTGGGTGGTCGACTTACACCGTGGATATGACGCTAGCTTCAAAACTTTTGACGAGGGCTGCCATCATCTACGGCTGGATTCCATTTCTGTGAACCTTGGAGGTTGCCCTTGCCAGTCGTCACTGGCGCGCTTGTGGTCCCAACGAGGACAGCTCACCTAGAGGTTTTGCGATGTGCGGTTCAACTTGATTGGCGGTACCTAAAGTGATTTGGTGAACCTCCCTCGAAACGAACCCCAAGTCGGCTTGGCGTGGCGCGGCATTTTCCTGCCAGATCCAAAATGCCCTTCCCCTCGAGGTAATCCCTGACTGACACACTTGTCACAGCAAGCTGGTGTGGAGAAATGAGCAAGTTCTCCGCCAGCTCTTTCCTTATCACGATACGTGACCATCCTACGATATCTCCCCCTACACAACTAGTTGATCTACTCGACCCTCACTACAGCATAAAAGCTAGCGTCGGCCTTCAACACGACAAACCGTGGATCCATCCAGACTCCAGAGGTCTGCTCGGATCCAGACCCTTCTGCACTTCTCTTTGCAGGGTAAAGAATCCTCTGCATTAGCGTCGTAACAATTCGTCATCGCAAATTGTGTTCCCATCACCCACCACTTTCACCACCACCTACCTAAGGCCTTTGCCAATGTTTGAGGCGCACATATAAGCACCAACATCCAGACCAGGTCTCGAATAGCCCAACCGACACCATTACTTTCATTGGATTCCCCCACCGCAATAGCGTAGACTTTCGTGTAAAGCCGTCAGCATACATCACGATCCGAAACGGCTTCGCCGCCGCTAACTGTGCACAATGATATCTTCAGCTGCCACTGATAACTCATCGCGTCTCTCATTCTAGTCTCTGCAGCAGGTGAGATGGTGGCTCCGAGGGAAAAATGGTTCGCGCGCGTTCCTTGCCGCGTCCAGCCGCCAATAAGTTTGTGAAAGCGTCTCCTCTTCTCACCCCCACCGCGTTGTCCGCTCGCACACCTAATGCGTCGTTGCCTCTCACTCTAACTTATTCCTGTTCAACCCTCGCTGCTCCTCGCAGCCCGATCGCGTCGCTCACCTCGCAACTGCGAAACCTGCATGTTCCTCGCATCGAGTCACCGCAGACGCGATATCTATCGAGTAGCTTCCATTCAAGAAGCTTTTCTACCGCCACCGCAGCTGTTAGAATAACTGAGTTCGGCAATCTCGGTTCCACAAATATTTCCTCCGCCGCCGCCGCCGCCGCTCGTCCGTCACCGCGTGCTTCCGCTGCGACCCGTCCGCCGTTCCGCGGGCATTCGTCCGTGCGGCAAAGCCGCCAGCAGCAGTTCAAACAACAGCAACAACAATTTCCAAATCAGCAGCAAGACATGGCGGTAGCCGTGCAACCAGCCATCGACACGCTCTCTCCTCCTCCCGTCGGTGCTGCCGTATCGTCCTCTCACCAACCTCTACCAGCCGAACCGGTCGCGCCCCCAACGGCATCAAGCCCGCCACCAGATGTACCCGTGCACTCCAGCATTCGCATCAGCGACGAGCGACAGCTCCTCGCCCACGGTCGCGTGGTGCTGTGCGACGTGCCGCCGTCGCTCGTGCTCACGCCGCACGCGGAGGGATCGGGGAATTCGGGAGAGGGGGAGGCGGAGGCGCAGGGCGTGTTTCTGGGGAGTCGGTTCCGCGAGGCGCACAGCTGGCACGTGTTCCGCCTGGGCGTGCTCAGGTGAGGCGCAATGCGATGTGCGCGCATGGTGGTGAGGTTCGATGGGTGAGACGCAATGCAGTGTGATCGCTCGCTGGTGAGCGCCGTTGCCTGGTTTTCTTTTGGAGGCAGTATGAGCTGCTCCGCATAACACAAAGAACGCTCTGCGCGTGTTGGGAGCGCTGGGAGCGAGGGGTGCGCGGGGAGCGAGGGGTGCGCGGGGAGCGAGGGGTGCGGGGGGAAATGCGTGTGAGTACACAGGAAAGCTGTCGCGCTAAAACACTCTTACCCATATCGTTTCTCAAAATAGTACTAGATTGCCATTGAACGTGCGCGCCATGTGCCTCTACTCCACTCGCGCCCCCTTCTCTCCTCCTTTTTTCCCACTCCCGCAACTACCCACCACTCCCCCAGGGGCGCGCGGTTCCTGTTCTGCTTCCTCTTCAGTCTCTGGTGGATGACGCAGCAGACTTCTGAGTCGGTTCAGACACCCACCACCCCCCCTCCCCCCAATCTCTTCCCCCAATTCTCCCCCCCTACCCCTTCCCCTCCCTGCTCACCCCCCCAGGGGGGCGCGGTTCCTGTGCTGCTTCCGCTTCAAGCTCTGGTGGATGACGCAGCGGGTGGGCAGCAGCGGCCGCGAGGTCCCCGTCGAAACGCAGTTCCTGCTGCTCGAACTGCCACCACGGCAGCAGCAGCAGCAGCAGCAGCACAGAACGCATCGACAGAGGCGGGAGGCAGCGGCAGCGTGGCTGCGAGGGTGTACGTGGTGGTGCTGCCGCTGCTGGACGGGTCCTTCCGCGCTGCGCTGCAAGGCTCGCCCTCCGACCACCTCGAAGTGTGCCTTGAGAGCGGTGAGCGGCAGGAATGTGTGGTGGTTTTGGAATGGAGCAAATTAGACTTGTCGGTAAGGTTTCAGCTAAGGGCGGGTGGGTTACAGAGGAGGAGGAATGGTGAAAAACAGGACTACGATGAGTCACTCTGTGCCCTGCGTTCTGCGCCCTGCGCCCTGCGCCCTGTCCCCTGTGCCCTGTGCCCTGTGCCATGTGCAACGGGCTAGCAATTTTACTCGGGTGAACTCTTTGTTCCGCGTGCATTGAAACGAACAAAGCCCGTCCTTGTCATTGAGCAACCTGAGCTCTCCATCATCCCCTCCGTGCTCCATCCCTACCAGCCGTTTATGGCCCTCCATGCTGACGTCATGCACATCCTGTCCATGCTGACGTCATGCACGCCCTGTCCATGCGCAATCGCAAAAAGGCCATGCGTATCTCCTTGCTCTCTCTCCCTTCCACCTCCCGCCAAACCCTTCCTAACAACGCATCCGTCGTGCCATGCCATGCCATCACCAGCGACCCCCACATGTGCACGAGGGAATCAATGCACGTGGTCTATCGTGAGAGTCCCTGTCGTATCTCCTTTCATCTCTCCCATTCCAACCTTCCACCCCCATCCACCACCATCCACCCCCATCCACACCCATCCACCCTCTTCCACCCCCTTCCACCCCCATCCACCCCTTCTACCCCTATCCACCCCCCTCTACCCCCTTCTGCCCCCTTCTACCCCCATCCACCCCCCACCCCCTTCCACCCCCTTCCACCCCCTTCCACCCCGTTCCACCCCCATCCCCCTTCCCCCCTTCTACACCGTTACCAGGCGACTCCTAGGTGTGCACGGATGAGTCACTGCATGTGGTGAATAGTGAGAGTTTCTGTCGTATCTCCTTTCTCCTCTCCCCTTGCACACCCTTCCACCTCCTTCCACCCCCTTCCACCTCCTTCCATCCCATTCCCCCCTCCCCCACCAGGCGACCCCCAGGTGTGCACGGATGAGTCACTGCAGGCAGTCTACATGCACAGCGGCACCAACCCCTACTCCATCATTGCCGACGCTGTCAAGTATGTGCCCGCCCGCCACCCTGACCTCCCTCTCACTCCCTCTCACTCCACGCCTCTCAACCGCTCTCCATTCCCTGTGCATGCACAGCGGCACCAACCCCTACTCCATCATTGCCGATGCTGTCAAGTGCGTCCCTGCCACCCTGCCCTCCCTCTCTCCTACCATCCGCTCTCCATTCGCTCGTCCTCTCTCCATTTAATATTCCTCTTCTTCTGCTTGTTCCTGACAATTCATGAGGCGCCTCAACCCCCCCCCCCTTCACCTTCCCCCGTTTCCCGTGTTGGCAGGGCGGTGGAGCAGCACACAGGCTTGTTCCTGCGGAGGGAGGAGAAGCAGCTATAGCAAGCGCGAGCTTCATTGAACCATCCCTGAACCAGCATGTCCGTCCTCTCCTCCCATCCCCTTCCCCTCCCTCTCAATCCTGGCAGGGCGGTGGAGCAGCGCAGCACACGGGCTCGTTCCTGCGGCGCGAGGAGAAGCAGCTCTAGCAATTTTATTCTTCTATGACCCATTCATGACCCACCATGCCCATTCTGTCCTCCCTGCCCCTTCCCCTGCTCCCCAACCCTGGCAGGGCGGTGGAGCAGCACACGGGCTCGTTCCTGCGGAGGGAGGAGAAGCAGCTGCCGGGGCTGCTGGACTGCTTTGGGTGGTGCACGTGGGATGCATTCTACACCAAGGTGGACGCTCAGGGCGTCAAGCAGGGGCTTGCTAGGTGAGCCAGTCAGTGGGTGAGGCGGCAGGAGAGAGGGATGCGTAGAGGGAGGCGTGCCAAGGGGCTGTTGAACTGCTTCAGGTGGTGCACGTGGGACGCCTTTTACACCAAGGTGGAAGCTCAAGGCATCAAGCAAGGCCTCGCCAGGTGCGTCTAAGCAAGCAGTTCTGGGAGGTATGTGCAGTGGAGGCAACTGTTAAGTCGTGAGGCGTCTCAAGGCGCTGCTGCATTGCTTCGGGTGGTGCACGTGGGACGCCTTCTACACCAAGGTGGACGCTCACGGCGTCAAGCAGGGGCTCGCCAGGTGAGTCACTTGTCGAGACGCATCATGTGGAACACCTTTGAAGCAAGCAGAGCATCAATGCCAGCAGGGCTGGCATGTGCGTGCAGGCAAGCAGGGCTGGCATGTGCGTGCAGGCAAGCAGGGCTGGCATGTGCGTGCAGGCAAGCAGGGCTGGCATGTGCGTGCAGGCAAGCAGGGCTCCACCTTTCCCCTCTCCCCTTCTACCCCTCCGCTTTTTTCCATTCCACCCATTCCTCATCTCCCACTCCACCCGTCCCCTCTCTCCCACTCCCCTCCTCCCCTTTCCTCCCATGCAGCCTGGCAGAGGGCAACACGCCAGCCAAGTTTCTCATCATCGATGACGGATGGCAGTCCGTGGCAGCTGACTCACATGCTCTGAGGTGCATTGAAGCACTCAACCTGCAGTTCCTTGTTTCCCATACCCCAACCCCTCTACTTCCACTCCACTTATCTCCCCTCTCTCTCCCGTGCAGCCTGGCAGCGGGCAACACGCCAGCCAAGTTTCTGATTATCGATGATGGATGGCAGTCCGTGGCGGCAGACTCACACGAGGACTCCAGTGCCACCATTACCGTCGGCACACAGTGAGTGCTCAGTGCGGTGCAGTAGAAAGTAGAGTGCGGTACAGTGCAGCGGCACAGTGCAGTGCGGCACAGTGCAGTGCGGCACAGTGCAGTGCAGCAGCACGTGAAGGACTCTCAGCAGTCAGTGGCGGCAGATTCGCATGAGGACTCCAGCGCCCCCATCACCGTCGGCACGCAGTTAGTACTGTAGTGCAGTGCGGTGCAGTAAATTACTGCAGAGCAGTGCAATGAAGTGTGGTGCAGTGCAGTGCAGCAGCACACTAAGTGCTCGCAGCAGTCAGCAGCGGCAGACTCGCATGAAGACTCCAGCGCCTCCATCACCGTTGGCGCTCAGTAAGTGCTCAGAAGAGTGGTGCAGTGCGGTGCAGTAGAGTTCTGAAGTACAGTTCGATGCGATAGAGTACTGTAGTACACAGTGCGGTGCAGTATAGTGCTGAAATACAGTGCAGAGTAGAGAGTACAGTGGTACAGTACAGTGCGGCAGCACACAAAAGCAATCAGTGGCTGGCGGCAGATTAGACTGAGGAATCCAACCCAACGCCACCATCACTGTTGGCACACAGCAGGTGCTCGAAACATCCCACATCCCGGTGAACCCCTTTACATCCCATCCCACTCTGCCATGCCAGCTCATTCTTTCCCCTGCTTTTAATGCCGAAACTCAAATTCTACCCCCATTTCACTGTGCAGGTACGCGAGTCGCCTCACGGATCTCAAGGCCAACTACAAGTTCAAGCAGCAGCAGCATCAGAAGCAAGAGGGGGAGGGGAGGCGGGGCAAACCTCAACTCGCCCTCGCTTTGAGGCGCCTCTAAAGTCTAAACTTGTCTTGGCCCCGTTTCACCCTTGCAGGTACGCGAGTCGCCTCACGGATCTCAAGGCCAACTACAAGTTCAAGCAGCAGCAGCAGCAGAAGCAAGAGGGGGAGGGGAGGCGGGGCAAACCTCAACTCGCCCTCTCTTTGAGGCGCCTCTAAAGTCCAAAATTGTCTTGGCCCCGTTTCACCCTTGCAGGTACGCGAGTCGCCTCACGGATCTCAAGGCCAACTACAAGTTCAAGCAGCAGCAGCAGAAGCAGGAGGGGGTGGAGGGTGGAGAGGGTGAGGGGCGGCAGGAGGAGGGGCAGGGAGAGGACGGGGCGAGTGTGTTGGGCGAGGCAGCGGGCATGGTGCATGGGCTGGGGCAGGTGGTGCGCGAGGTGAAGGCTGCTCATGACCTCAAGTGAGTCTCGTGCTCTTGGTTTCAAGTGATTGACTGGTGATCCCAAGTGAGCGATTTCTATCTCAGGTGCAGCATCATTGTATTCAAATGTGACTCTTGGCGTTTTAAGAACCTCTACTGTGTTCCGTTGAGGAATCTATGCGTCGCCAGTGAGTATTGATTCATCTGTTTCATCTCTTCAATCAATCCCACCTGCAGTTATCTGCATGTATGGCGTGCACTGATGGGCGACTGAGGAGGGGTCCACCTGCATGCCTCCAGCATGCAGCGATTTAATACCCCCTTTTGTCTCCCGTCTGCCCATGGGCAACCCGTTTTCTCCCCTTTTACAACCCCCCCTCTCTGCCCCGTCTCCTCCGTCTCCCCCCGCTCTGCAGGTACGTGTATGTGTGGCATGCCTTAATGGGCTACTGGGGCAACGTGCGCCCACACGCCGGCAGCAGTTCGACCCCTTGGTCCCAACTGTCTTTCATCCCAATTCCCACTCTCCCTTCCTCCCCTCATCTCCACCTCTGCAGGTACGTGTACGTGTGGCACGCCTTAATGGGCTACTGGGGGGGCGTCCGCCCGCACGCGAGCAGCATGCAGCAGTTCGACCCAGCCCTGGTCTTCCCGGTGCCCTCGCCCTCCATCCTACTCAACCAGCCCGACATGGCCCACGACTCCCTCACGCTCAATGGTCTCGGCGTGGTGTCCCCTGCCAAAGTCTTCCATTTCTACGACGCCTTGCACGGGTATCTGGCGGCGTGCGGGGTGGACGGCGTGAAGGTGGACGTGCAGAATATTCTCGAGACGCTCGGCGCGGGGTACGGGGGGAGGGTGGCGCTGGCGAGGGGGTATCACGAGGCGCTGGAGAGGAGTGTGGCGAAGAACTTTGAGGAGAACGGGGTGATCGCGTGCATGAGCCACAACACTGACGGGCTCTACTCGTGAGTGCTTGACTTCTCTATCCTTCTCTGGTTCTTTGAGTTGACTCGTAAGAGCTTTGAGGAGAACAGGGTGATCGCGTGCATGAGCCACAACACTGATGGGCTCTACTCGTGAGTGCTTGACTTCTCTATCCTTCTCTGGTTCTTTGAGTCAACTCGTAAGAAATTTGAGGAGAACGGGGTGATCGCGTGCATGAGCCACAACACTGATGGGCTCTACTCGTGAGTGCTCCTCATATTCTGGAGACGCTCGGGGCGGGGTATGGGGGAAAGGGCATGGGGCGCGGGGTATGGGGGAAAGGGCATGGGGCGCGGGGTATGGGGGAAAGGGCATGGGGCGCGGGGTATGGGGGAAAGGGCATGGGGCGCGGGGTATGGGGGAAATGGTATGGGGCGCAGGGTATGGAAGAAGGGGTATGGGGCGCGGGGTATGGGGGGAGGGTGGCGCTGGCGAGGGGGTATCATGAAGTGTTAGTATCACAGCAGCACATGTGAGTGGGCTCACAGTCACAGCACAAACACAGCTGCACATGTGAGTGGGCTCACAGTCACAGCACAAACACAGCTGCACATGTGAGTGGGCTCACAGTCACAGCACAAACACAGCTGCACATGTGAGTGGGCTCACAGTCACAGCACAAACACAGCTGCACATGTGAGTGGGCTCACAGTCACAGCACAAACACAGCTGCACATGTGAGTGGGCTCACAGTCACAGCACAAACACAGCTGCACATGTGAGTGGGCTCACAGTCACAGCACAAACACAGCTGCACATGTGAGTGGGCTCACAGTCACAGCACAAACACAGCTGCACATGTGAGTGGGCTCACAGTCACAGCACAAACACAGCTGCACATGTGAGTGGGCTCACAGTCACAGCACAAACACAGCTGCACATGTGAGTGGGCTCACAGTCACAGCACAAACACAGCTGCACATGTGAGTGGGCTCACAGTCACAGCACAAACACAGCTGCACATGTGAGTGGGCTCACAGTCACAGCACAAACACAGCAGCACATGTGAGTGGGCTCACAGTCACAGCACAAACACAGCTGCACATGTGAGTGGGCTCACAGTCACAGCACAAACACAGCTGCACATGTGAGTGGGCTCACAGTCACAGCACAAACACAGCTGCACATGTGAGTGGGCTCACAGTCACAGCACAAACACAGCAGCACATGTGAGTGGGCTCACAGTCACAGCACAAACACAGCAGCACATGTGAGTGGGCTCACAGTCACAGCACAAACACAGCTGCACATGTGAGTGGGCTCACAGTCACAGCACAAACACAGCTGCACATGTGAGTGGGCTCACAGTCACAGCACAAACACAGCTGCACATGTGAGTGGGCTCACAGTCACAGCACAAACACAGCTGCACATGTGAGTGGGCTCACAGTCACAGCACAAACACAGCTGCACATGTGAGTGGGCTCACAGTCACAGCACAAACACAGCTGCACATGTGAGTGGGCTCACAGTCACAGCACAAACACAGCTGCACATGTGAGTGGGCTCACAGTCACAGCACAAACACAGCTGCACATGTGAGTGGGCTCACAGTCACAGCACAAACACAGCTGCACATGTGAGTGGGCTCACAGTCACAGCACAAACACAGCTGCACATGTGAGTGGGCTCACAGTCACAGCACAAACACAGCTGCACATGTGAGTGGGCTCACAGTCACAGCACAAACACAGCTGCACATGTGAGTGGGCTCACAGTCACAGCACAAACACAGCTGCACATGTGAGTGGGCTCACAGTCACAGCACAAACACAGCTGCACATGTGAGTGGGCTCACAGTCACAGCACAAATACAGCTGCACATGTGAGTGGGCTCAGTGTCACAGCACAAACACAGCTGCACATGTGAGTGGGCTCACAGTCACAGCACAAACACAGCTGCACATGTGAGTGGGCTCACAGTCACAGCACAAACACAGCTGCACATGTGAGTGGGCTCACAGTCACAGCACAAACACAGCTGCACATGTGAGTGGGCTCACAGTCACAGCACAAACACAGCTGCACATGTGAGTGGGCTCACAGTCACAGCACAAACACAGCTGCACATGTGAGTGGGCTCACAGTCACAGCACAAACACAGCTGCACATGTGAGTGGGCTCACAGTCACAGCACAAACACAGCTGCACATGTGAGTGGGCTCACAGTCACAGCACAAACACAGCTGCACATGTGAGTGGGCTCACAGTCACAGCACAAACACAGCTGCACATGTGAGTGGGCTCACAGTCACAGCACAAACACAGCTGCACATGTGAGTGGGCTCACAGTCACAGCACAAACACAGCTGCACATGTGAGTGGGCTCACAGTCACAGCACAAACACAGCTGCACATGTGAGTGGGCTCACAGTCACAGCACAAACACAGCTGCACATGTGAGTGGGCTCACAGTCACAGCACAAACACAGCTGCACATGTGAGTGGGCTCACAGTCACAGCACAAACACAGCTGCACATGTGAGTGGGCTCACAGTCACAGCACAAACACAGCTGCACATGTGAGTGGGCTCACAGTCACAGCACAAACACAGCTGCACATGTGAGTGGGCTCACAGTCACAGCACAAACACAGCAGCACATGTGAGTGGGCTCACAGTCACAGCACAAACACAGCTACACATGTGAGTGGGCTCACAGTCACAGCACAAACACAGCTGCACATGTGAGTGGGCTCACAGTCACAGCACAAACACAGCTGCACATGTGAGTGGGCTCACAGTCACAGCACAAACACAGCTGCACATGTGAGTGGGCTCACAGTCACAGCACAAACACAGCTGCACATGTGAGTGGGCTCACAGTCACAGCACAAACACAGCTGCACATGTGAGTGGGCTCACAGTCACAGCACAAACACAGCTGCACATGTGAGTGGGCTCACAGTCACAGCACAAACACAGCTGCACATGTGAGTGGGCTCACAGTCACAGCACAAACACAGCTGCACATGTGAGTGGGCTCACAGTCACAGCACAAACACAGCTGCACATGTGAGTGGGCTCACAGTCACAGCACAAACACAGCTGCACATGTGAGTGGGCTCACAGTCACAGCACAAACACAGCTACACATGTGAGTGGGCTCACAGTCACAGCACAAACACAGCTACACATGTGAGTGGGCTCACAGTCACAGCACAAACACAGCTACACATGTGAGTGGGCTCACAGTCACAGCACAAACACAGCTACACATGTGAGTGGGCTCACAGTCACAGCACAAACACAGCTACACATGTGAGTGGGCTCACAGTCACAGCACAAACACAGCTACACATGTGAGTGGGCTCACAGTCACAGCACAAACACAGCTACACATGTGAGTGGGCTCACAGTCACAGCACAAACACAGCTACACATGTGAGTGGGCTCACAGTCACAGCACAAACACAGCTACACATGTGAGTGGGCTCACAGTCACAGCACAAACACAGCTGCACATGTGAGTGGGCTCACAGTCACAGCACAAACACAGCTGCACATGTGAGTGGGCTCACAGTCACAGCACAAACACAGCAGCACATGTGAGTGGGCTCACAGTCACAGCACAAACACAGCTGCACATGTGAGTGGGCTCACAGTCACAGCACAAACACAGCAGCACATGTGAGTGGGCTCACAGTCACAGCACAAACACAGCTGCACATGTGAGTGGGCTCACAGTCACAGCACAAACACAGCAGCACATGTGAGTGGGCTCACAGTCACAGCACAAACACAGCTGCACATGTGAGTGGGCTCACAGTCACAGCACAAACACAGCTGCACATGTGAGTGGGCTCACAGTCACAGCACAAACACAGCTACACATGTGAGTGGGCTCACAGTCACAGCACAAACACAGCTACACATGTGAGTGGGCTCACAGTCACAGCACAAACACAGCAGCACATGTGAGTGGGCTCACAGTCACAGCACAAACACAGCTGCACATGTGAGTGGGCTCACAGTCACAGCACAAACACAGCAGCACATGTGAGTGGGCTCACAGTCACAGCACAAACACAGCTGCACATGTGAGTGGGCTCACAGTCACAGCACAAACACAGCAGCACATGTGAGTGGGCTCACAGTCACAGCACAAACACAGCTGCACATGTGAGTGGGCTCACAGTCACAGCACAAACACAGCTGCACATGTGAGTGGGCTCACAGTCACAGCACAAACACAGCAGCACATGTGAGTGGGCTCACAGTCACAGCACAAACACAGCAGCACATGTGAGTGGGCTCACAGTCACAGCACAAACACAGCTGCACATGTGAGTGGGCTCACAGTCACAGCACAAACACAGCTGCACATGTGAGTGGGCTCACAGTCACAGCACAAACACAGCTGCACATGTGAGTGGGCTCACAGTCACAGCACAAACACAGCAGCACATGTGAGTGGGCTCACAGTCACAGCACAAACACAGCAGCACATGTGAGTGGGCTCACAGTCACAGCACAAACACAGCAGCACATGTGAGTGGGCTCACAGTCACAGCACAAACACAGCAGCACATGTGAGTGGGCTCACAGTCACAGCACAAACACAGCAGCACATGTGAGTGGGCTCACAGTCACAGCACAAACACAGCAGCACATGTGAGTGGGCTCACAGTCACAGCACAAACACAGCAGCACATGTGAGTGGGCTCACAGTCACAGCACAAACACAGCTGCACATGTGAGTGGGCTCACAGTCACAGCACAAACACAGCAGCACATGTGAGTGGGCTCACAGTCACAGCACAAACACAGCAGCACATGTGAGTGGGCTCACAGTCACAGCACAAACACAGCAGCACATGTGAGTGGGCTCACAGTCACAGCACAAACACAGCAGCACATGTGAGTGGGCTCACAGTCACAGCACAAACACAGCAGCACATGTGAGTGGGCTCACAGTCACAGCACAAACACAGCAGCACATGTGAGTGGGCTCACAGTCACAGCACAAACACAGCTGCACATGTGAGTGGGCTCACAGGCACAGCACAAACACAGCAGCACATGTGAGTGGGCTCACAGTCACAGCACAAACACAGCAGCACATGTGAGTGGGCTCACAGTCACAGCACAAACACAGCGGCACATGTGAGTGGGCTCACAGTCACAGCACAAACACAGCAGCACATGTGAGTGGGCTCACAGTCACAGCACAAACACAGCAGCACATGTGAGTGGGCTCACAGTCACAGCACAAACACAGCAGCACATGTGAGTGGGCTCACAGTCACAGCACAAACACAGCAGCACATGTGAGTGGGCTCACAGTCACAGCACAAACACAGCTGCACATGTGAGTGGGCTCACAGTCACAGCACAAACACAGCTGCACATGTGAGTGGGCTCACAGTCACAGCACAAACACAGCTACACATGTGAGTGGGCTCACAGTCACAGCACAAACACAGCTACACATGTGAGTGGGCTCACAGTCACAGCACAAACACAGCTGCACATGTGAGTGGGCTCACAGTCACAGCACAAACACAGCTGCACATGTGAGTGGGCTCACAGTCACAGCACAAACACAGCTGCACATGTGAGTGGGCTCACAGTCACAGCACAAACACAGCTGCACATGTGAGTGGGCTCACAGTCACAGCACAAACACAGCTGCACATGTGAGTGGGCTCACAGTCACAGCACAAACACAGCAGCACATGTGAGTGGGCTCACAGTCACAGCACAAACACAGCTGCACATGTGAGTGGGCTCACAGTCACAGCACAAACACAGCTGCACATGTGAGTGGGCTCACAGTCACAGCACAAACACAGCTGCACATGTGAGTGGGTTCACAGTCACAGCACAAACACAGCTGCACATGTGAGTGGGCTCACAGTCACAGCACAAACACAGCTGCACATGTGAGTGGGCTCACAGTCACAGCACAAACACAGCTGCACATGTGAGTGGGCTCACAGTCACAGCACAAACACAGCTGCACATGTGAGTGGGCTCACAGTCACAGCACAAACACAGCTGCACATGTGAGTGGGCTCACAGTCACAGCACAAACACAGCTGCACATGTGAGTGGGCTCACAGTCACAGCACAAACACAGCTGCACATGTGAGTGGGCTCACAGTCACAGCACAAACACAGCAGCACATGTGAGTGGGCTCACAGTCACAGCACAAACACAGCTGCACATGTGAGTGGGCTCACAGTCACAGCACAAACACAGCTGCACATGTGAGTGGGCTCACAGTCACAGCACAAACACAGCAGCACATGTGAGTGGGCTCACAGTCACAGCACAAACACAGCAGCACATGTGAGTGGGCTCACAGTCACAGCACAAACACAGCAGCACATGTGAGTGGGCTCACAGTCACAGCACAAACACAGCTGCACATGTGAGTGGGCTCACAGTCACAGCACAAACACAGCTGCACATGTGAGTGGGCTCACAGTCACAGCACAAACACAGCTGCACATGTGAGTGGGCTCACAGTCACAGCACAAACACAGCTGCACATGTGAGTGGGCTCACAGTCACAGCACAAACACAGCTGCACATGTGAGTGGGCTCACAGTCACAGCACAAACACAGCTGCACATGTGAGTGGGCTCACAGTCACAGCACAAACACAGCTGCACATGTGAGTGGGCTCACAGTCACAGCACAAACACAGCTGCACATGTGAGTGGGCTCACAGTCACAGCACAAACACAGCTGCACATGTGAGTGGGCTCACAGTCACAGCACAAACACAGCTGCACATGTGAGTGGGCTCACAGTCACAGCACAAACACAGCTGCACATGTGAGTGGGCTCACAGTCACAGCACAAACACAGCTGCACATGTGAGTGGGCTCACAGTCACAGCACAAACACAGCTGCACATGTGAGTGGGCTCACAGTCACAGCACAAACACAGCTGCACATGTGAGTGGGCTCACAGTCACAGCACAAACACAGCTGCACATGTGAGTGGGCTCACAGTCACAGCACAAACACAGCTGCACATGTGAGTGGGCTCACAGTCACAGCACAAACACAGCTGCACATGTGAGTGGGCTCACAGTCACAGCACAAACACAGCTGCACATGTGAGTGGGCTCACAGTCACAGCACAAACACAGCTGCACATGTGAGTGGGCTCACAGTCACAGCACAAACACAGCTGCACATGTGAGTGGGCTCACAGTCACAGCACAAACACAGCTGCACATGTGAGTGGGCTCACAGTCACAGCACAAACACAGCAGCACATGTGAGTGGGCTCACAGTCACAGCACAAACACAGCTGCACATGTGAGTGGGCTCACAGTCACAGCACAAACACAGCTGCACATGTGAGTGGGCTCACAGTCACAGCACAAACACAGCAGCACATGTGAGTGGGCTCACAGTCACAGCACAAACACAGCTGCACATGTGAGTGGGCTCACAGTCACAGCACAAACACAGCTGCACATGTGAGTGGGCTCACAGTCACAGCACAAACACAGCTGCACATGTGAGTGGGCTCACAGTCACAGCACAAACACAGCAGCACATGTGAGTGGGCTCACAGTCACAGCACAAACACAGCTGCACATGTGAGTGGGCTCACAGTCACAGCACAAACACAGCTGCACATGTGAGTGGGCTCACAGTCACAGCACAAACACAGCTGCACATGTGAGTGGGCTCACAGTCACAGCACAAACACAGCAGCACATGTGAGTGGGCTCACAGTCACAGCACAAACACAGCAGCACATGTGAGTGGGCTCACAGTCACAGCACAAACACAGCAGCACATGTGAGTGGGCTCACAGTCACAGCACAAACACAGCAGCACATGTGAGTGGGCTCACAGTCACAGCACAAACACAGCAGCACATGTGAGTGGGCTCACAGTCACAGCACAAACACAGCAGCACATGTGAGTGGGCTCACAGTCACAGCACAAACACAGCAGCACATGTGAGTGGGCTCACAGTCACAGCACAAACACAGCAGCACATGTGAGTGGGCTCACAGTCACAGCACAAACACAGCAGCACATGTGAGTGGGCTCACAGTCACAGCACAAACACAGCAGCACATGTGAGTGGGCTCACAGTCACAGCACAAACACAGCAGCACGTCCGGCTCACCAACCCAGCCTCTCTGTTCCCATTCCCCTCAAGCCCCACCCGCATTTCCCTTTGTTCTCCCCAACCCCAACCCCATCCACATGCACTCCCCCGCTTTCCCTGAACCGCGCAGAGCGAAGCAGACAGCAGTGGCAAGGGCGCTAGATGACTTCTGGCCCACCGACCCGCCTCTCAGCCCTCCTTCCCTTCGCCCCCAACCCCCCTGCCCTTTCTCACTCCCATATGTCCTCCTCTTTCCACCTTCAACCGCGCAGGGCGAAGCAGACAGCGGTGGTGCGGGCATCTGATGACTTCTGGCCCACCGACCCTGCCTCGCACACTGTGCACATCGTCTCTGTACGTCCCACGCCCACTGCTGCTCCTCCCGTTCCCACCACTCCTCATCCTGTTCCCACTGCTATTCGTCCCATTCCCACCACTCCTCATCCCATTCCCACCACTCCCCATCCCTTTCCCACCATCCACAACCCTTCCTTTCGTCATCCCTCACCTGTCACTTAAGCATGTGTGGATTTGGATTTGGTTTTGGATTTACTTTGCACCAAATCCTAAAGGCGCCGTACAGCCTCGCCTCATAAGCCTCACTGTTGCTAGCTTATCCTACCCGTTCCAACCACGCCCCTTCCCATTTCAACCACTCCACGTCCCATTCCAACCACTCCTTTTCCCATCCCTCCACTATCCCCTCTTTGTTATACCCTCACCATCCCTCTTCCCATGCCATTTACCCTTCTTGTGGTGACACTCTCTCCCCTGTGCCTTGGTCTCCACCCCACTCACCAGGTGGCATACAACAGTCTGTTCCTGGGCGAGTTCATGCAGCCCGATTGGGACATGTTCCACGTGCGTGTTGACTTTTGGGGGGGAAGGGGGTGCTGGGCTGGGCGTGTGTGAGGGAGAAGGAGAGTGCGGGATGTTCACTGGGGTGAAAGTGTTTGACTTGCTGAGACGGTCTGTTTCTGGGCGAGTTCATGCAGCCCCACTGGGACATGTTTCACGTGCGTGCTGTGAGGGGGAAGGGGCGGAGAGATGGTTTGGGCTGGGCTGGCCTGGGATGGCCTGGGCTGGGCTGGGCTGAGCTAGGCTGGGCGTTTTCCAAGGTAAAACTGTTTGACTTGCTGAGTGGTTCGGTCAGTCTCAAGGGGAGTTCATGCAGCCCGACTGGGACCTGTTCCAGGTTCGAGTGACTGGGGGGGTGCTGGGCTGGGCTGGGCATGTTCCAGGTGTGTGCCATGGGAGGGGGAGGGAACGGAGGAAAGGGATAATGGGGCGATGGGGGACTTTCTGTGTCGGCTAGTCTCTCTGAGGGACTTCATGCGGCCCGATTGGGACATGCTCCAGGTACGTGTTGACTGGGAACAGCGGGCTGGGCTGGGCGTGTTTTCCTGGTGCATGCTGTGCATGCACGCCTCTTCCCCTGGTTTGGGTCGTCTAACCCCTCTCCCTCATCTCGGCCCTCACCCTTCCGCCAGTGGTTGATTGCACCTACCACCCAGCACCCACCCACCCAGCACCCACCACCAGCACGCACCACCCAGCACTGCATCATAACCCTTTCAATATGACAGCATATCTCACCTGATACCACTCCCCTGCTCCTCCTTTCTCTGCTCCTCCATTTCCCCGCCTGGCTACCTTCCCATCGCCCTGCCTTAACCTGCCTGCCTGCTTGTCTCCCTGCTACCATCCCCTGCCTGTCTGCCTGCCCCCACCGCCAGTCGCTGCATCCAGCAGCGGAGTTCCATGCAGCAGCGCGAGCCGTGGGGGGGTGCGCTGTGTATGTCAGGTGGGTGCAAGCCGTGTGTGGGGGGTGCTGTGCATGAGAAACTGGTGCTGTGGGTGGGTGCGCATTCCAGTGCAAGCGATGCGCACATAAGGGCCATGTGCGCTGGAATGCTATCTGTTTTAGCGAGCTCAGATCGCCTCCGTGTTTTGCGCGCCAAGCTATACCTGCCCCTCCCCCTTCTCTTCTCGCCCCATTACACTCCCTCCTGCAGTGACAAGCCAGGGGAGCACGACTTCAGTGTGCTGCGCAAGTTGATGCTGCCAGACGGCTCTGTGCTGCGCGCCAAGCTTACCCTCTCCTGTGTCTCCGTCCCCCTCCTTGTGTCCTCTCTCCCCCCCACGCAGTGACAAGCCAGGGCAGCACGATTTCAATGTGCTGCGCAAGCTGGTGCTGCCAGACGGCTCTGTGCTGCGCGCCAAGCTGCCCGGCCGACCCACCAGGGACTGCCTCTTTGCCGATCCCGCCCGGGACCACACCAGGTGCGATGGTGCTGCTGGCAGGGACCACACCAGGTGCGGTAGTGCTGCTGGCAGCTGCTGCAATGGCAGCAGGCGGGTCACTCAGGACCCCAACTACGGGTCACACAAAGAACAGGTCGACCCACCAGGGTCTGCGTATTTGTGTATCCGCCAGGTGTGATAGCGCATGCTGCCAGCTGTGCCATGCATCTCCCACGCACCACATGCCATGCCCATTCATCCCCTCATGCCATCCATCCCACTTCTAACTGCTCCATACTCATCCTCTCTCCTCCACTCCCAAGCCATCCATCCACCACCTCCCCAAATCCCCACACGTCTGCCAGTCTTCTTGCACCGTGCTCAAGGGCTGGACGCATGCAGTAACATGGTGGCCGATTTTCAACTGCCCCATCCCCTCCCAACCCTTGCCTCCTTCCTTCTCCCACCGTATCCCTTCACCCACACCACATTATCATTGCAGCATGCTCAAGATCTGGACGATGAACGCGTGTGGGGGCATGGTGGGTGCGTTCAACTGCCCCATCCCACCTAATGCCCAACCCTCACCCCCTTGTTTCCCACAACCCCCCTTCCTCCTCCGCCCAACAGCATGCTCAAGATCTGGACGATGAACGCGTGTGGGGGCATGGTGGGCGCGTTCAACTGCCAGGGCGCGGGGTGGTGCAGGGATGGGCGCAAATACACCATGCACAACCCCGACCCTGATGCCGTTACTGGGACTGTTGCTGCTGCTGACGTGGACCTGCTTGCTGACGTGGCGGCCGGCGACTGGACGGGAGACGTGGCGGTGTTTTCGCATAACGCAGGTGGGTGGGCAGCGGAAAGAGAAGAAAGAGAGGGAGGGACGGAGGGACGGACGGAAAGGGGGAGAGGGAAGTAAGGTAAGCTAGCGATGGGTTCAAGAGAGCATGGGTTGGTGTTAGTTTGAGTAAAGTGGCATATTCAGAGTGACATGACTTTTATCACACACTGACTTGGGCGCACCATGGTACAGGTGTTGCGTGGTGTTGCAGAATACACTGCCACTGTGTTAGCTTGCCCCTTTCATCTTGTTTTGAAGCCTTCCTTCACCCTCTTCCACTGCATGTTTGGGTACGACACTATCCCACGTGAGGTGGGTGTACTTTCCTGACGTTTAAAAGGCCTTCTTTCACCATCTTCCACTGCATGTGTGTGGGTACGACACTATCCCACTCTGCAACATAACATCCCGTGCATGATATCCCGTCATGCGTCTCATATGCTCTCATATGCAGACATATCATCCCCTCCGCTTGTACTTGTGTGTGGGTGTGTGTGGGCATACCATCACCAAGTTAACACCACTCCACTACATTCATCCCCTCTACTTGTTTGTACCACAATCGATCTACCAAGCCCACCCCCCCCTCCCCCCCTCCTGGTGCAGCTACTGGCGGACAGACACATCGCGGAGTTGTAAGTTGTTGCTGGGTATTGAACCCACGTCCCATCGTCTATATCACCAACCTGTTTCTCTATTCCACTTCCACCACTCACACAACACCCCGTGCCCCCATCAGGCGAGTTGGTGCGGTTACCAGCGGACACATCTCTGGTGGTGCATCTGCACCGCCTCGAGTTTGAGCTCTACACTGTCTCCCCCATCACTGTACGTCCACATTCCATATTTTTTAGGCACCTCGAAAATAAATGCAATCATTGAGTCGCCTCAAAATAGACATCTGCACAGCCTCGTGTTTGAGCTCTGCACTGTCGCCCCCATCACTGTACGTGCGCATTCCATAGCCATATACTCACATCCCTCCTGGTGGAGGTGCTCTGTTCACCAACTCCTCCTTCCCATCGCTCTTGCTTATCACCCCCCTCTGTCCACCCACACTCACACCACTCATCCTCCCCTTCCACCCCTGTCAACCCTGCCCATCCCTGCCATCCCTCCCACCAGGTGGTGGGAAGCGTGGCAGTGGCGCCTATAGGCCTGACCAACATGTACTACTGAGGGGGTGCTGTGCTGTCACTACTAGACGACTTTTGTACTGACGCCCACCTCTCCCCTGGCCACCCCCAACCATCCCTGCCATCCCTCCTACCAGGTGGTGGGGAGTGTGGCAGTGGCGCCTATAGGCCTCACCAACATGTACAACTCAGGGGGTGCTGTGCTGTCCCTGCGCACCAGCACCACCACCAGTGGTGCCAGCACTTGCAGCCCCAGCCCAGATGCTGCAGGTGTAGGCTCACCGAATGTAGACACGACTGGTGCACACACAGCAGCAGCAAGAGAAGCAGATGCGAGGGAGCCGGGAGCAGGAGCAGCAGGGGAGATGGTGGAGGTGGAAGTGAGGGGAGGGGGCAGCTTTGTGCTGTATGCATCAAAGGAGCCTGTGTGGTGTACAGTGGATGGTGTAGAAGCGCAGGTTGTGTACACCCCTGATGACGGTCGGGCAACAGTGCAGGTGCCATTCAGGGCAGGTGCTACCTCGTTGCTCAGATTTGCCTGGTGACTGGACAGCTGGCGAAGCATGCGAGCTGGGGATAAAGTGGGAGGTGTGTTGGTGAAGCTGCAGCTGGGATCATACCGTAGCAGTTACAGCAATGGATTATCTTTTGCTGGCAATGCCAATTCTTTGCGTGTAGCGTATGAGCTTGTGCAACCCCTTCGTCAGCAGCGTTCTTTTTTGTGGGATGACTCTGTGTTCAAGATGTATGATACCTGGCACATGTTGCATTGAAGTAGAACACATGTGGTGGAGCAAACAAGAGGAAGCACGAGGTGCAGATCAAGAGGCCAGAGGCCGATTGCGGAGGGGGAGTGAGACATGTTTCAGCTAGCCTTCTAGAAATGGAATACGGTACCTCATGCAGTTTGCTAAGTATGGTGCTGTAGTTTCCCCAAGACACGCATGTATTATTGCCATCTCAACTTACAATGACCACTACATTATGATTCCAACTCCCAGACCCCCCCAACCCCTACAGTCCAAGACACTAGACTCCTCCCCACGCACAGCCTGAAGCGTTGGTGAAACATCAAAACTACAACCATGAGGTGCTAAATTGAAGAGGAAACGGACGGCAATGCAGCACAACAGGGCGTTTTGCTGCCTCCCAAGCTGGAAACCTCAAGCAGGATCCCCCAAGCATGCCTTCCGTTTCAAACATCCCATACCCAGCGCAAAACACACCATCAACCATTGCTCCCACCGCCTCTGCCGCTCGCCACTGTCGCTTTCCATGCTGCAGCGACGTTCCGTCTTGTAGTCTAGTCGTGGTGGTGATGGTGGTGATCATCATCGTGGTGATGATGGTGATGATGATCGTCATGGTGATGGTGATGGTCGTCGTGCTCCTTCTTGGGCGGCGACGGGGACGGCTTAGGCTTGGGCGGGGACGGCTTGGGCTTGGGCTTGCACGCCTCGACGCACTCGCCGTACTTCTCCTCGCAGTCCGCGCGGCCGTTCTTGTAGCAGTGGCGGCGGTGGTACAGGCACCAGTCCTTGCACCCCCACTTGCCGTACTTGCAGTTCTTGAACTCACGGTACGCCTTGCGCTCGCACGCCGTCGACTGCGCCTCGCACATCTCCTTCTCGGCGGGAGTGGTCGCCTTCGCCGCGCACTTCTCCTCCTTGTCGTCGCACGCGGCGTACTTGAGCTTGTACTTCTGCGTGCACGTCAGCTGAGGCTTGGGCGGAGGCTTGGGCTTGGGCTCGGGCTCGGGCTTGGGCTTGGGCTTGGGCTTCCCGTGGTGATGGTGGTGATCGTCGTCGTGGTGATGGTGGTGATGGTCGTCATCGTGGTGGTGGTGGTGGTGGTGGTGGTCGTCGCCCAAAACGCGCCTGGCTGCGACCTCGGAACCTGCAATTATGGGTAAAATTCGTCAAGTTCTGGCCTACTTTGTTGGGGAAATGGCGTATCTGAAAAAAAAAAAAGCAACACATAAATTTTAGTTTGTTTGCTTGAAGCGGCGGAATAACTCACCAGAATTCTGGGCACTGAAGACGGCGTTGGACTCCGCATAAGCGGAGGGCGCAACCAGAGCGCCGAGCAGCACGGAGGCCACGACGAGAAGGGCGAGGAGCTTCATCGGAGCCATAGCTCTAGGAGAAGATGTATCGAGTAGATTCTATCGAAACGAAAGCCTGAGGAAAGTAATGCGAGAGCCACATTTTATGCTCGGGCTTCGCCCCTCGTTGCCCCATCCCCTCGAGTCGATGAGCATCGCGGTTCGGTTACGAAAAGGCGTCGGTCTGGGCAGTCCAAACATTTGCTCGTCAAGTAACTTGGAGCGGCTTTTAGTTAGAAAACGTTTACATGTGAACAACCTCAATTGTCAACGGGCTGGTGCAACCTCATTGTTGACTCAGTTCCTACCAGCAAGCCCAGCCCAAAGAAATATTCTCCCAAGAAGCCCATCACTTGGGCGTCTCGGGAAGGCGGCGTCGCACTAGCGACTCGGTTTGTTGACGGGGCACCAGTGGTTACTAGAAACTGCCCCTAAACTCTGGAATGCGAGCTGTCACGCGTCGGATAACTTAATCGACGATCGACAACAGTTTAAGCATCACACCCGTCTGCCCCTAAAGCACACGTGGCGCATTACCTGCTTATCACTGAATACTACGGCGACGTGTCTCATCCTCAGCAGATGTACTGCTCATAGGGTGGTGCTGCTTATCAGCTGCAAATTGATTCGATAGTAGCAAACAACATCATTCTACCACCACCATCACACATACAAAGCCTAGTATCATAGTACTTAATCTACATACTTCTGTAACTTGTAACTTTGTTGTACAGTTCTTGTTCCCATAAAATATTCTATATGTACCAAATCTATTACTACACATGCTTGTATTCTCTTATGTATTCTTTCCATCTGTTATGGCTTGTAAAAAAAGTTGCGTGGAAAACGAATAACGATGTTTAATAACGAAGTTGTGACTAATTGAACTGGCGGAACAATGAAAGGCACACGATTATATAGCAGGTAAACTTAGCTACGGTAGGTGGGAACCTTAAGAAGGCGAGGTTGGGTGCAGGTTGGGCAAAGGAAACCCATGGCGACGCGAGATTGCTTAGGCAGCAATCAAACTGGCCGAACGTGACCTTCCGAAAGTTGGAGTTGTACGCGAAACAATGAACCCCAGAAAGGAAAAAAGGTATTTCCTTACACTACCCCTCCCCTCCCCCCTCTTGAGAAAGGTGGTGATTGTCCCAACACGCTTCCGAGCGAGATAATTACGAAATAATCACGCTTCAAGCGAGACGGATGACACCCAAGTGTCGTCTTCTTTAGTGCGGTCAGTCTAGCGAATTTAAATGTCCACGTGTCTCCCAGTGGCGACAAGACGAACGCGGCGCTTCAAAATCTTCGATGGTTCAACTACAGCTCGAGTCGTTGGGGCGGGTTTTGGCGAGCGATGTAGTCGTGGCAGCAACAAAGGGACGAAGGAGGCTGAGTTGAAGGCATCGTGCACACGCCCGTCGTCGAGCAGAATAAGTTTTGCTGTCATCGAGGTGATCATTTTGATAATGCGGAAAGATTCACAATATTGCGGGCGAAGTTTCGGCAAGGCGGGCAGTTGAAGGTTCTTCGCGTCAATGACTAGTTGCCGAGCAACCATAGTGGTTTCCCAGCGTAGCAGATTCGAGTATTTGAGGGTAGTTGCGTTAGCTTTTCAAATTGCTTCGACAGATTTCTAGCGGATTGGCTAAAGTTTCGTCACAAAATGTTGCGAGCGTGGTACCGGGTTCTCATGTGTCGTTGCTATGGGTAACACAGGATCCATACCGTAATTTAGGAAGACTGGGGAATCGTTGATCGTGCTGGATGGGGCGTTGTTGTACGCGAATTCCAACATGGGAAGTTTGTGCGAATGAGCTACTCCGTTGTCTGATTGGTCCGCTCCATTTGTCCGTCGATGTGCGCGTGGTAGGCTGACGAGAACCGTAGCCTTGTACAATACCGTGCCTAGGTTTTCTTCCGAAACTTCGACGTGAATCTAGGGTCGTGGTCGCTAACGATCGCAGACGCGATCCCGTGAAGGCGGACAACGGTTGAGATGAACAGACGCGCAGTCTCTTCGGCTGCGATGGTTATACGATATGGTGCACAATGCGCCAATTTAGCGAGGCGATCGACGACGACGAATACTGCATTGTTAACGGGCGCGCCAGCTGGCAGCCCCGTGACAAAGTCCATCGTCACCTATTGCCACGGTTGCTCGGGTGGCTCGAGGGGTTGTAAAAGGCCGGTCACTGATGTGTCGATTTCATTGTATGGCACACCTTGCTCGTCAGAGATACAATAATATTGACGGTGCAAAATATTGTCGACTCCAAAATGTCAATCCTTGACGAAGAGAAGGGGAAAGAGCAAACTAATCAAGGATCGGATCGCTGCAGGATGGGACCCCGAAACGGCAAGGACCACCCCCACCGAAGTAGAATGGGGAGGAGGAAGCACAGAAGATACGGGGAGCACATGGGCATCTGTCAGAATGGTATAATTGTCTAGTCTGCAGTGGGGTACTCTATAGCGAGTACAACCCAAATTAGGGTTTCCTATATGTATCCTACCTGCTGCTAGTGCAACCCCTCTTTCCTGTTTCTCTCTTTCTCGCTACTGTTTCTAACATGTTATCAGAGCGAGATCGCTCCTGGCCTGTGGGCCCACTTGCTTCCGCTGCTATCCTACCTGTCGCGCGCCTCGGGCGCGCGACAACCTCTGCCTGCCGCGCGCCCTGTGCGCGTGGCCTTTTTTCTTCCCGCCAAGCGCTCGGGGCGCGCGACAGTTTTCTGCCCGCCACGCGCTCGGGGCGCTTGGCGGTTTCCTGCCCGCCGCGCGCCCCGGGCGCGCGCGGCGGTTTCGTAGCCCGTCGCGGCGCCCCGGGGGCCCGTGCGCTGTCCCCTCCCATCGCCCTTCATGGCGTCCCGAGGGCCCTCGCGCCGCCCCCTCCCGTCGCCCGTCGCGGCGCCCTGGGGGCCTGCGAGCCGCCATATTTGTTGCCCGCCGCGGCGCCCTGGGGGCCTACGCGTCCCCCCCCCCTCCCTGTCGCCCGTCACGGCGCCCTGGGGGCACGCGCGTCGCCGTGCCCGTCGCCCGTCGCAGCGCCCCAGGGACCCGCACACCGCCCCGCTTCCGCTCGCACGCCGCCCCAGCTGCTGCCCGCGTATCTGCCCCACGCCGCACGCGCGCCCCTTGCGTTTGGGATATGGGGGTGGCGGGTATGGGGGTGGCGGGTGTGTGAGCCGTCCCCTACTCCTCCTCCTCCTCCGTCTCCCACTGCTACAGCTGCCGCTGAGGGGGGTGGATGTGTGGGAGCCGAGGGAGTGGCGCTAGGGGGGTGCCGTGGGAGTGGAGCTAGGGGTGCATAGGGGGGTGTGTGAAAAGGGGGTCTGCGACAGTGGGGGAGGGTTGAACGGAGGTAGCCGTTGTGGAGCTAGCAGTGCCAGTAGTCCGGGAAGGTCGTGCCCTTGCTCCGGTAGCCAGCGAGCCCGTTGCGCCAGTTGCCCGTGGGTCCGTTGCTCCAGCCGCTCGTCGTAGCCGCGGAGCCAGTTACTCCAGCAGTCCGGATACCCGGTTCGTGTCCGGTAGCCCGTCTGCCAGTTGCTCCAGTAGCCCGTGTGTCTGCAGCTTCACCCGTCACCTCTTATCTCCACTCCTCTCACAGTCCCTCCTCCTCCTCACTTGCCCTCTGTGACTGCCTCTAGCTTTGCTTGTGCTTGTGAACTTATTACACATGCGACTGCTTGCTGTGCTGATCATACCCCACTTTGCCTATGGGGGTGTGTCAGAATGCTATAATTGTCTAGTCTGCAGTGGGGTACTCTATAGCGAGTATAGCCCAAATTAGGGTTTCCTATATGTATCCTACCTGCTGCTAGTGCAGACAAGCCATCTTTCTTGTTTCTCTCTTTCCCGCTACTGTTTCTAACAGCATCCTCAACTGGTCCTTGGGGAACAGGCAAAGGAGGCTGGGAAACAAACGTAGGCGAACTCATCCGAGAAGAACTAGAGGAGGCAAAGAAGGAACTGGAAGCTGAGCAGACACCACCAAGAAATGTAGTCCCTCTCGGGCGACGACCGCGTAATCCACCATCACCACCTCACTCACCCCAAATCTAGCAGTCTTTATAAACTGGGCTCGACAAGGGGAAGGAATCTTCAACTCCGCCTGACCTCAAGTTTCTCGCACTCACGATGTCAAAAGCACGTTGTAGAAGGATAAGCAAAAGCAGAGGCAGAAACAGAAGCAGAGGAAGTAGAGGCGGAACCAGAAGAAGGACTCGTGGTAAGCATTCTCTACGAGACAGAAGCAGAGGCAGATGTGCATCGCGTGCGATACCTGCGCAATCCCAGAATCCACGTAGACGACGACCTATGGCATCAGTGTCTCGGCCATCCCTCACGGCTAACCTTCAACAATTGTCTCAGTGCTATGGTCTTCTTGCCTGGCGCCCTTCTGCCCCCTGACGGCACAGAACCACGAAGGACTTCACAGCCGCAAATCTGCACTGTCTGTCCCACAGTCACCCTCTCGCATCACGCCTACCCCTCACTCGAGCCAAGCACCAACCGCTACAAGAAGCTGCAGAAGGTAGTCAGCGCCTTCATTGTCGCTTGGTACGGCGGAGTCAATGACGAAAGTTACAATCTCACCTTCGTGGAGGCAAAATCACTCATGTCTAGGTGGCAAATGTGAACGTTCGCTCAAAGGCACCTGAAGTGTTTCGGGTATGGCTGGCTCACGCGTAGCGGCAATTGGGAAAGAAGCTGAAAATATGGCAGACAGATGGCGCAAAGGAATTTCGCGGCAACGAGCTACGAAGCTTCCTCATGGAAAAGGGGATCCGGCACCACATCCCGCTTCCGTAGGCTCACCGAGCGTGTAAACCGCACCCTCATGACGGAAGACTGGGCGCTCCTGAAGCAGTCCAGCCTCGCCCTCAAGTATTGGCCTTACTCCATGCACCACGCCGTGCGACTTCATAACCTTCTGTCCACAACTGCCAACAGGGGATACCTCTCACCTCACATGATGTGGACCAAAACAAGGGGAGCTGAGGGTCTGGGACTGCATGATGCAATAA